TGGGCCTTTGAGGCACCGTTGCAAGCGACCTGGACAAGAATAACGCTAAGAATAACCGGAGAATAGGAACAAGGGGGGCAAAGGACAAACACAAATCTTCCAAATACAGTTAGGTGACTCGCGCACGACTGAAAAAATCCGCTCGATCTTGGTATTGAACCATGGGACACCTCCTTTTCCGGTGGAGCGCTTTACCGGCTGAGCTAACCTGGAGTTAGACGTCAGTAGAGCCAATGGGTTTTTACAGCTGCACCACCTGTCTAATTCCAAGGTTGAACGGCAACGGCCTGCATATTAAAGTTATGATGATACTGCAATCAATGCAAAGGCAGTGATGGAAGCGGCATTGAACCTTTTGTAGCAGACGCCAACGTCTGCTAGCACGTTACTTGAAAATGTGATTGGAATATTTAAAAAAAATAATAAGAAATGAGACATTGAGCACCACTTCAGTTGAGATAAAAACTTTTTCTCTCTCCTCCCCACTTTTACGCTTGGTAGTTAATTTAGCCAGTAAATTCCTCCAAAATGTCGGCAAAAATCGGCATATCCGCTGAAAAGTTTACAGATAAAAATACGTCTCCGCAACTTTTACGAACACCGTAATAAAGATTTTAATATAACTCCAAAAATAACCACCCACATATTAAGAAAACATGCATATGTGCTTTAAAAGATGCACTGCACTTTAGCGGCGTTCGAACCAGAGTTGAGCCAGTTCGCTGCCCTTTAGATCAACTGCAGCAGGGGAACTATGCCTTAACTACCCTATGTATTCAAACAGAGACCAGCCTTTTATCTCCTTCATGGGCACATCCTTTTACAATTAGAGGTCAACCCTGAGGGAAGACCAAAGAAGGTCGACCTGTAATAGTACTGAGGATAATTTCCGAGCCAATCGCGCTAAGCTATGCGCTCCCCGTGTCAAGCACTGCTCCTAGCACTCCAGTGCAAAGTGGGGAAGCTCGACGCGCGCGCTGGTGTGAGGCCGTGAAGGTTGATGCCAGCCACACGACGGAGATATAGCCACGACATGGAGACATGTGGTGGACACGATAATCAAGTGATAACATCGGGACTAAAAGACCTTGGGTCCGTCTTATTACAATAGCAGCCATCCTACTATTTTGCAATTTCTCTCGCGACTTTGAGCTCCCGACAACGCCGACATCATCTGGAAATTCACATGATGGCGGGGCCAGCGCGGTTGAGAACAATCTATTACATTGACGAAGGCCATGATGTCGCGGTTTTGACGCTGCGTCATAGTGTAAATATTACACTATCACGCAGCGTCTAAATTGCGACATCATGGCCTTGGTCAATTATCTGTACCTTACTATTTCCTTGGCTAAACCAATCAAGCACGGCGAATGCAATAAACTTGCGTTTTTAGTGTGTGGGCGTGACTATGTGTTTAAGCCTTCGACTGCGTTCTGACCTAAGACGAAACACACTGTGCGGTAGGTTATGACGCTGTGAAATACATATTTGTACCGTTTTAGTTTTCTTCTACTTTTTTGGAATATTAGGATCGAGCAATAATAAAATATTTTTATGTTTTTGCTTCCCTCAAGTTCACCTCAACGCAGGTGTGGCGCAATTCTCAGCAAAAATGACGCTTTGGCACAAGATGTAGCACATTTTCGTTCATAACGCAATTTGACTCAAATGGCGCAGCACTTCCATCACTGCAAAGGTGCAAGTGAGCTGGACAAGAATAACGATGAAGAATCCCTAGAAAAGGAGACAAGGGGGACAGAGGACAAACACAGATCTCCAAACACAGCTAGGCGACTTGTGCACGACTGAAAAAATCTGCTTGGTCCTGGTATTGAACCATGGACCTCTTAATTTCCAGTAGAGCGCTCTACCAACTGAGCTAAGCTGGAGTTAGATGCCAGTAGAGCAAACAGGTTTTAACAGCTGCCACGAGTTTAACTCCAAGAAGGGTGAACAGCCTGCATTTTAAGGTTAGGATGATACTGCAATGAATGCAGAGGTGCAAGTGAGCTGGACAAGAATAATGACAAGAAACCCTAGAGAAGGGGAAGGTCAAATAAAAAGCTCCAAATACAGCTAGGTGACTGGTGCACTACTGAAAAAGTCTGCCTAGTTCTGGTATTGAACCAGGGACCTCTCCATTTCCAGTGGAGCGCTCTACCAACCAGGAGTTAAGACGTCAGAAGAGCAAACGGGTTTTAACAGCCGCCTAATGTCTCATTCCAAGAAGGGTGAACGGCCTGCATTTTAAGGTTATGGTGAAGCTGCAATTAATGCAAATGTGCAAGCGAGCTGAACAAGAATAGTTTTTGTCCTTTGTCCCCCTTCTGCAGAGATTCTTAGCGTTAGTTTGTCAAGATTTTTTTTTCCAACAATTTATGTGCGGCTAAATTTAAACCGTCGTGCATCCGGTGCTAACAGATGTGTGAAGCTCTCTATGCCAAATACAATCTGCAAAATAAAACAAAAAATAAAAATGCAAAGCATTTTTTTTTTGTTGACGTGTGCAAATTTTAGTGCTGAAAAAATGCGAAAAAAAAAATCCCCAAAAACCCACAGACTTTCATGTATCATATGCCTATTGTCGAATAAATAAAACCTGCGAACAAAATAGAGTATGGGGCAGAAATCAAACTTCCCACAGCCTGGACAATGCAACGGTGTTCAGGCAGAAGGACAGGACAAAAATGTAACCTCTTATCAATGAAAAATAACTATTCGGCTTTGACCAGTCAATAATGTTATCGCTTTTTTTCTTCTTCACAGAGATGACTTTTCCAAGCAAAGTCACAAACACAGTATGCAACGAATAATGTGCACTTGTTTTTATTTGAGATATCCAAACCGGATACGTAACCTCCGGACACTCGTAATTAATCAAGTGTGAAATTTCCTCTTTTCCTCTCTCTTTATTTTCATTCGGTTATTTTCTGAACGCAACTGTTGTGCACATTTACAGGTGACATTCGACTGAGTGAAGCATTTACGATTAAACGGGGATCAGTAAGGGGGTGAGCTACTTTTCTAGCCAGCAGGATTGCTGGTACGCGCATTCCTGCCGCGTGTTGTGTATTTTACGCCAGCAGGCCTGGCGGACAAAATGCGGCAAGGATTTGTATTGAATGTGTGTGAACATCCACAAGGATGTGTGCGTGCAGCATCCAGCCCTGAGAGGGCGCTTTTTCCACTACGTTCGGGACTGCCCTGCAGCAAAGCCATATGCACAGGACCATGGCAACGCTCTGTCATGATCCCTTTTAATTCGAAAGGGTATTGGCGGGTGTAATATTTTACCGCCTAGGTTAGTGTGCCCCAGATGAGAACTTCTCACCACACTATACTTGGTTGGAAGCAACTTTCTGTGGCAATGAAGCCAAAGCTACGAGTGGCCTTGCACTTTGAGCGCCGATGAACGCTGTGCACACACACTCGTTTAAAATGCCACAGAAAATTGATCCAGAGTTTTGTAACGTTAATGACAGCCTTTCGGTTCCAAGAGAAAAACGAAAAACCAGCGATTGCTTGTCCGCTTTAAGTGCTACGTACAAACACTGTCGCTTGAGCGCTGCCAGAACTAGAATTTAGCTGGCAGCCGCGTAAACTTCACTCTATACAAACGCTGTTTGCAATTTTTTTTATGATAAAAGACGTTGCAATTCGTCGCTTCCAGAGTCGAACATGGCGCCGCGTCATCTCCACATGATGCGTCGTCGCATTGCACACATTTTGCATAAATTACGTTGCTGGCTTTGTTGGTGTATCGCAGATAATTCGCCAACTGCATTTCACACAATGCCGTCTCTAAGTATGTTGCTTCTCTGCAGTGCACCAGCGCCCGGCGAGAAGCGTGCACCACAGAGCTAACAAAATTTGCTGCATTGAATGACGAAATCTTGCAAAATTTCTTACTACTACTGTCAGCCATCAACACAGAAGTGGATCGCTAGTTAGCCCTCCTTACGACGAGTTGTGTTTTCATCTGTTCGCAGCTGTTGATTTGTCGGCACCCGGAGGGCCGTTCACTGTTTTGCACGCTGCGCCTACAGCCAGATGGCCCGATGAAGCCAGTCGATGCAGGATGCGCGGTACCTCCATTCAAGGCCACGCATTTCCGTTCCCTTTGTTAAGTGCGTTGCGATCCCTTGTAACCTTTTAACACACCAGCGCCATCTATCGGCAGCCCTGGAACAACTCCGACTTGTGTAAAAACTGGAAATTTTGCAGTATTTGAGAGATCAAATCTACGCACTTTATGAGAAATGGTCGCTTATAATCTTGCTAGAACTCTTTGGAGCCGACGGTGAAAGAATGATACATAAGAAATCATATAAATATGAACTGGAGCCATGATCTCACAGAGTTTTGGTGTGCAAAGCTCTCCTCCGGCCCTCTAAAACACTTGTTTCCCCAGCAGGAACGCATAGCACAGCTTCTCCAGAGCTCCGCAAGACGGTGCCAACACAGAGCCGTTCACGATGCCGACGACGACGGAAGCTAAATTGTGTGACCGCGGTGCTACGTTTCAAGCCCCGAACACAAATGCCTCGGCAGCCGTCCACTCCGACCGGGCTACCTCCTGCGGCCTACTGCTTTCACCCGAGTGAGCGACCAGGCCACGAGACCGACCGGACTCTGCCAGGACGTCTTCCGTCTGAACCGACTGCAAGTCGGGAAAACGGGCGCCTTTTTGTCAGGGCAGCTGGCCGAGCAAGCTCGACAATGGTGACTTCCGGCCCCGTACCGGCGTCACAGCGCCACAAAAACAGCCCGGAGCCATTTTGTTCGGTCTCTCCTGACGAATGGAATGGCTGGAGGAGAGCTTTGTGTGCTAAGAGTCTCGGAGACGCTGGTGTTCCAGGGCCACCTGATAGGTGGCGCCAACGTGCCAGACAAGAGAATGTGAATGTGCGAACCAGTTTTTTCTTGCTGGCACGCATAATTAAACGCTCATCTTCGCACCAGTGTCCTTCTCTGAAACAATGGTGACACGCACGCAGGTCCCATGTGCGGATGCTGCACCGCCGCGGCCAGAGCCGCGAGCAGCGGCTGCTGGCCATCCAGCAGGCGGCGGCGGCAGCCAGTAGGGGCCACCACCTGTCCAGGGACATGAAGACGCTGCTGGGCACGCTGTCTCCGGCAGAACGCAAGCTGGTCGCCATCAAGCACAACCTACAGGTGCCCTCGACACTGGCCTTGTATGGCTACCGTAAAATCCCGAGAGATAGCCCACCTAACATCAAGAGCAAATCGGCTAAAAATATGGATTGGGCTGACTTTCGGTGTACAATCAAGAAAATTTTTAAAAGACGGTACCGATACAGAGCCCTTTCAAGCTTGTTATGGTGGCGAGGGGCAATAAAGCAAAGATGACTGTACTTCCCAGTCAGCAACGTTCGCATATATCCCTCCATGGCTAACTAGCTGCATTTACGCCGAGGACATCATTGATCCCAACACTACTATTACTAGGAGTGGGCTACCTTTCGGTGTTTAAAAAAATGTAGCAAATCAAGCTTAAAAATAGGTGTGCGGGTGGGGCATCTCTCGGGATTTTACGGTATATGGTGTCGGTAGCTCCGTAGACTGGTGAGCGAGAGAATACCATGTCCGTTCCCCTGACATCCAGACAGCACGAGCTGCAACATTCAGTCTGGCGCTATGCCCACACTTGCGCCCAACAAGCCCCTCTCGGTTTATCGCCAAATTCAGAGACACGGGACCTAAACTCCACGGCCCTCGTCTGGACCGGAGCTTCTTATTTCGATTCCAGTGGCACGCATTTAATTCCCTTTCCTCCAGTTCGCAATCTGGCCGGCAGGTCATGCCAGTTTTCGCTGCATCTAGGGTGCCAATTATCTGCCCGTCTCAAGGTGGAGTCATCCTTTGCCGTATCAATTCGCTGGCAGCACGTGACAAAGCAACGCTGTCGAGCACCTTTGGGAGATGAAATGGCCTCGAAGCATTAGCCAATGTTACGCGTTCAAGATGAGTCCCGTCGAATTGCATGCGCTTACAAAAACGGAGACTATACCAGTTGGGTGCAAAAATGGCCGAGATGCCGTCTGCCGGCAAACGCACCTGTGTACGAAGCGCTATACTGCACCACCGTTTCTGCTCGGTGCCTCCTCCAAAGTTGCTAATATTTTAGATATTCCACCAAGCGCACGGCAGACCGCTCACACTCTTATCGGTTGTGACGCATCCACCGCCTTTGTGAAAGTCATCTCTCGAGTTTAGGACGGTGGGCAAAAATGATATTGCTCGCGCGAGCACTACCTTGCCCCGAAGTCAAGCGGTGGAAATGGGGCAAACTCTCGACAGCCCATAGTGAACTCCATGTGGTTTCGAAGTTTGAAAAGCAAACTGCAAGCACCCGTTTCTTTTCTTTGCACTCGGACAACACGAAAGCTACGAGCTCTCAGAGCCTATCCAATGCCGAGTGTGCCACGTGGCCTTTCATTGGACTAGGTGACGCATGCGATACACTTAGTGCTATATTGGCTGGGACAGCTCAAAGCAATCGAAGGCCCATCACTTGTCTACACGAAGCTTGCATTGTGCATGTTCCTGAACGGATGGCCCGTCCTGGCAGGCACGTATGCCACCGCTTTTCCGCGCAAGCATTATTTTTGGCGGATGGAAATGAGTTTTCAACCCCCACTATGCCACTTTAAAGATGCTGAACCGAAAATCGAATTTCAAAAAACAACACAGAATCGATAGGCACGACGCTACAAATCCCTAAACGTCACTCATAAAGCGGTATCTACAACGGATCGTCGCATTTTTGTAAAAAAAAAAGCGCGCTCCCACAAGGCCGAAAAGACGCGTAACCTCGCAATCCTCATTTCCTCCTCTTTTCGCTTTGACTCCGTGATGGCGCGGAGAGGAAAGGGAACAAGGCCACTTCTCCTCCTTCTCAACTCTTCTGCAATAAGATGAAGTCAACATTCTCCCCCATTCGCTCCTTTATTTTCCAGAAATATGGCCATCCGCTCGAGGTATGGCTACATGAATGATGTTTCGTGGTTTATGGTACCCTGCTGAACACTACTGCGAGCTTATGAGCTTATTTTGTCAAATTCGAATATCGGTTCAGGATCTCTTTAAGACGATTTTAAAGCTCCCACATCATGTTTAAAGTTGGGCGGTCCTTGTTACGAGCCGTTTTCAAGGGCTTACAAGGAAGGCCACCGGATCCGCACTATCCCGCAAACCTCACACTGAAAAACGAAAATTTCAAAAAAAAACTCGAGGTAGCTGGGAGCTGCATGCAACCATTCCACGTGACCGACCTTGTTTCCCCGGCTGCGCAGGTGACCCCCGGCCAAGCTGTGCCTTTCCGCCGCATGAGGTCGCAGTCGGTGGTCTTCCAGCCGGACCCCGCCCGGAGGAGCCCCCTGGTGGTGAGGGCACGCTCCCTCTCCGTCAGCGACGCCCCGGAACGGCCGCAGCTGCACCGGACTCACGCTGCGGCGGCCCCGGCCACCAGACTCACCGACCACGAGGAGGACGACAGGTTCCGGACCTACACCCGGCAGGTGTACATGCTGTTCGCCACCCTCGCCGCCATAGTGGCCGCAGCAGCGTACTACACCTTCTTCAGGATACACCAGACCTGACCGCCCGAGGCATGACGGACGGCCAGAAGGCCCTCTCCCGCTGGGAAACTCGAGGGCTGCGACACAATGATTGTTCGCTGGAGACGAACCAAATCGTCGGAGGCGTCCTTTCGATTGCTGGGTTCGAGGGTGTCCGACTATCCACGAGACCCAGCGAAGGTTACGCATCTAAGGCCGGCAAGAGGGAGACTTGACGCCCTCACCCGCAGACACCCCCGGGCACGTCGGTTTCCAAAGCCACAATTGGGAAGTGAAGGAATTTCACTGACCACATGGCTGTGCGGGTGACCTACAACAAAGGGTGCAGCAAAACAGCAGAAACCGAGGTTTCCGGAAAAGCGGTGGTCAAACGTTTTTGCGACCTCGATCCACCGAGAGAACGACAGAATCGGTCCAGTTCTTCGGCATTAGTCAGCCGAAACTAGACCCCTAGCAGGAACGACGTAGCCAGGGACGGCACGGGGCTTACGAGGCTGCAGACCGCTTAAGAATGCAGCAATACACTCCCCGCCCCAACACAATATTGAAACCCCCAACTACTGCACTGCATGGCAGTGGAAGGAGGTAACGAGATTTGCCCAGCATTCGTTGTCTCTCCAAGGAAGGCGACAAGTTAACGAACCAAGCTGGGTGCACTTCATCTAACGGGTGAAACCGCTAAAATATGATTATTAGTCAACCCGTCGAAGACCCCGTACGTAAGGGAGTCGGGAAGGATGTACAGGATTTTTACATGTTGATCTGTGTCGTCCTTTCGCTGTTTGTCTTTGAAGGACAGGGACGCCCACTCTCACTTTTGTTGTTTGTATATCTTAGAGCAAAACCAGATCTCCTCCCACCCCCTGGTAACAGGGGTCCCCGGTGTGCGGTCACACAGCACGTTGTGCCTCGAGGAAACTTGCGCCGCGCAAAAGCCTACCTCTACTGCAAACACAATTCGATGTATCGCGCAAGCATAGCCAGACTCCATCCTCAAGTGGTCATGAGCAACGGCTCTGATGCAGGTTCCGAGGGCAGTGACGGAAGCAGAAATGCTTCACAAAGTTTCAAGGTTAGTGAAGACGCGACACGACCATTGGTCCCACGAGCACGAAAAGGCCTAGACAAGCGAGCTGATGCCATCTGCAATGTCATTCTTCCACAACGCTCGATATGAACTCTGTTATGAGAACGCCACTCTCAGTGATTTTTCTCGTAGCAAGGGAGTAAGGAAGAAATGAGCACTCCCGCATTAATCTACAGTACAGTCACTGCAATGGCTGCGACACGTCACATTGGTTCAATTTACTTCTTTGTCTGCAACAAACGGTGAGACGCTTTGGCGTCGCTGCCGTGCACCTTTTAACGTCTCGCAAGAAGCGCAACGCAAAAATGCGGCAACGTCAAGACGAGCACGACCGCCGCTTCGCGCCATACTCTTGTCGTGTTTTGGCGCGTTTGCCGCTTGGGGCCCTGCTCGGGGATTTGCTGCCAACGACGTAGTGCGCAGGCCCTTCTTTTAGGTGGTTTTATATGGATGGACACGGCCAAACCATTTTAGTCGGGCAGCGGCTTGCGTCACCCAGCCGAACCTTTTAATTTCAACAATTAACTTCGATTAAATTTTAATTAAGAATGATTGTAAAAGGTTTTATCGCGACGTCACGGAAACTGTGGCCATCTAGCGGGCGCTACTCGAGACTCGCGTTTGTTCCACAAAAACCATATAATAACACGGTAGTGCGCACACTTTGCGCGCTGCGGACCCAGGTTCGACTTCCGAAAGCGGTGGGCGACCTTTTCCTTAAAGGGGCACTGACACATCAAAATCATAATTTTTTTTATTATCCGAAACGATTGAAAACGATGCCGGGACATTACCCTCAAAATTTGAAATTTGGGAATTCAGTATTCGTGAAGTAAAAAAACAATTTCCAAATGCCAAATTCGAAGTTCCCGCGCGATCGGCGCCGGTGCCTTGACACCAAAAATCGCGAAGACCTGAGAGTCGACTTCCTTTCACCACTCCCTGCTGTTGCCATGGCGACCCAAAGCGAGGAGGAAAGGAGCGGGCGGCGGCGTTCCGGCGGACCGGTTTTGAGCGGTGTCGCCTGTTTTCCGTTGGAGGATACAAATCCAGGAGACGGCACCACAACGAACTCCCGATTTTTGGTATTTCAAAAAGAAGGGCCGTACTGCATTCGCAATTGCGTTAAAAAACATGTTTTAGGATTGCCGTAATTAAATGTTATAGAGATGTCGCCTACAAAGCTTCTAAATTTTATGATTCTTGACGTCACCGATCAAAAGAAGCGAGGAGGCGAGAGGCGGGAAAATCAAACGCCAAAAGTAAAAAGGCGCGCGCGCGCGCAAAAAAATTTTTTTTTGCGATGCGGTTTTTTTTGCGTGTCTATGACTGCAACTTGCATCGTTTTAGACAATAAAAATAAATACGACCTTTGGGGTGTCAGTGCCCCTTTAAGCGGTTGGAAATATTGTGGCGGATGCCCTACGCCCTATTACACCATCTACAACATGAACTGGTGCGATGACGACGGACGTCATTTCCAGCAGTGGAAAGAGCCCGTAACAGCTATCGCCGTAAAAAAATCACTCTCGGCAACACACTGCCGAGCAAACACAATGTCTTTTTTTATGATAATGTTTCGAAAAAACTCAAAACTGATACATAGAGTGCTTCAAACTGTCATACAGAGTGTGGTATGGTGTCCATCAGACAAAGCTGCAGTCAGTGCAGTTCGGAGTGAGCTGCTCTTGAGCCCTTTGTTCAGGACAGAATATACAACTCAACCTGGCCGGTAATGGCTGGCTCACGTGAGACATTCCTCGCTACCCCCATCGGTTGGAACACTGTGTACCATAACCCACATTTAACACTATGGTGGCAGCTATGCTGCCTAAACGTCCCTGCCAAAGCATCTAATTCGTGTGTTCTATGGCGTTTTCTCGAGGCTGTGTTCAGCTTTTGCAGCACATTTAATTGACACCAAGGTGCCCTTGAACTGCGAGTGCTGCATGTCGATGTTGTTACGTGGCTCTCTATGTTCAACACTGCTTCACCTCCGAGTTAAACCGCAACCATAGGTTCATCCTATGAAGCTAGCCTGAATGCAGTGATACGGGGCATGTCGAATTGACTTGTACGGAACGTTGCTCCGATAATTGCCGGATCGGAGGTGAAACAGACTGTGTCGAACCTATGCACAAACTAGGGAAGGCTAAGTTTTTATTGTTGGCCATTGCAATTTAATGGAACCTAAAGTTTGCATCTATTTATGGCGAGACTGTTGTTAGTCGTCCCTGACGACAGAGTGCGCAGAATGCATCGCAAGTTTTTCTACGCTCTCGGTGTTACTGTACAGTGTGAAACTCTATTTCCCATAAAACTGCGTTTGCAATAAGACTTTGCCTCAATTTCGCTGTTGCTTCTTTAAGTGCTGTTCACTTTTTACACATTTGTTTCTCGCCGATGATAATCACACAGGTTACATTCCATATCGGTAGGGATATCCAAATAAAAGTGTGCCAAATCAAACTTGAAATTAAAAAAAAAAAAGCATCTCCACTGTCCCTGTTACGTCACAATGTCAGAGGGCTTCACAGAAAATGGATCCCACCGGTAGCGGTCAAAAGGGCACAAAACATATTTAACTGGTAGATCTCGTAAACTAATTCAGAGAAAACATGTCTATCGTTATTGTGCAATAAGGATTGAAATATCCCGTTTTTCTTCTTTAAGAAAACTTACTTTCAGCGAAATTAGCCTAGCAGATTATAGCTGTCCCAGGACCAAAAGCGCAAACGATGGCAAGAGGAAGCCAGATGGGTGACTGACACGGGTGAGTATGCCGCTTCACAATTCGGCTCGACCATAGGGTGTGCACAACCGTGACCAGGATCGGCAGTAGCCAAAGACCCAAAAAGTAAGGTCCGAGGACGTTTACAAGACCTCAAACCAGCAAACAAATTTATAAAGAGACCCGCGCCTGAACAACTCAATCCCTTGATCTCGCACGTGGGGATGCGACGCAGCCGGGGCCTCTGCGGCGCACGAAGATGCGCAGAGGGTCGCGGTGCCAGCCTCAGCCCCAGAAGTGGAGGTCCTGCTTCATGACGTCCCTGTTCTCCCTCCTCTGCCTGGTGACGGCACTTGCCTCCCCCTTGACCACCAGCTTCTTGCCCCTGGAGCGCTCCTTGTGGTTCAGCTGCCTGCGCACGCGTGCCTTGATCTCCTCCGGCGCTATGGTGCTACAGCTGGTCACGCTGAACGTCCTCACACTTCCTACGTCGTCGGGAGAGTCCGAAACCGCCACCAGCTTGGGGACCGTGTCTTGCCCCTCTCCCGCCGCATCTGCAGCGTCGGACTGCTCGTTGCCGAGCGCGGCTTCGACGTCCTTGGCACGATCCGCACACGCTCCGACATCGGAACCTGGGGTCCCCGCGTCCCTTCTCGGATCTTCCGGTCGGCCTCCTTTGTCATCGGTCTCCCTGGATCGGTCGTCGAAGAGGAGAGGCACGGGTTCGGGAGGCCCACGCTGCCCGTCCGCGAGGAACCGCTCCATGATGCAGCCGGAAGACTTTGCGGCCTGCGGAGACCCATTGCCTTCATCCGGTTCGGCACCTTCATCCGGTTCGGCGGCGTCGCCGGGGTCGTCGTCGTCGCTTTCGTCGTCCCCTCGGTTCTCTTCCTTCAGGTTTGCACGCTTCATCTGCTCCACGGCCTGGAAGGCGTTACAAAGACACTAGTGAGTGACCCGCGGTGATGGTTTAAAACGAAAGTGTATTTCGAGTGCAAACGTGAAAGCGATCTGCTTCCACGTTTGCGTATATAAATGAGAAACGATAGCGAGAAAGCGAATCACCTCTTCGAGCTCTTCCTTGACCTCTTTGGAAAAGCCGGTAGCTGCGGTCTCGAGGTCGAGCACGTCGTCTCTCCTGCAAGACGGCATGGATCTATATTCACGTATCCGCTCAAACGCGCGCCTAAACTCGACGGTCTTTAGAACCTAAGAAAAGCAAACAAAATAATTACATTTCGTCGCGTGAATGAAAGAAAGCAAAAAATCTTTTGAATTTGAGAAACAAAAATGAAAACGGCTATGTATCCGTACAATTATATTTGCATATTTACCCTGACTATATGAGTAAAAACAATTGATCTGGTACTTGGGGCATCCCTCGGTATCTCGGTGGTTGTTAAGCGACCGGTAACAGTCGTGGTACACTCACCGTAAAATGCGGAGAAAGCACCTACTTTCATTCAGGGTTGAGCAGAAATACTCAAAAATGTATTTGGGAAATAGAAATACTCGGGTACATTAAAATAGAAGCTAAAATACTGATACTGAAATATACCTGTAAAAATATATCGCGATACGTATCGGAAATACATTTTAAATAGCGGCAAAATGTAGTTGGAAATACAAATACAGGAATACATTTTAGGGAGGGCAGAAATACAAATACAGAAATACTGATACTGCAATACATTTTTCAAAATTGTTTGAGATGCCAAATGAGATGAAGCTTGAAGTTGGAAGTGGAAGTTTTTTATCCTGAAATTATTTTCTCGTAGGCTTGGCACTTCGCCTTGAAGGTAGTGATTTCGGACGAGGAGGAGTTTTCAATGGGCTCAAGAAAACGTTCCATCAAGGATTGACCGTGATCCCTTCCCTGACATCCTGTCTGTCTGACGAGGGATTCGAAAATACTTCAACCTCTAAATAAATTCTATCTCATCCTAAATCCCATCAAAATGTCACCGTGCCCCTGTCCAATAAGGACGCCCCTGTCAACATTTATCACATGACGTCACGGTGGAATCAACTGTTATTCTTTGTCAGTAGGTGTGGCCTTGAACCACGCTGCTGTTTGAAAGGACAATACATACTTTCGTTGTAGGTTACCTCGTTGAAGATTGTGCAGGCAGTGTCATTTGGAATTTTCGAGAATAGTGGACCACCTGAAGCATCCTGGAGTAGATCTCTTATATTCTGTTACGGTTAAAAAAACGATACAGTGGCATCCCTGTTGTGAAGGTCCTTCCTGCCGACCCTCCGCCACCGACGCATGGATTGCAATCCTCAAGTTTCGTCTTGCATACTCCACATAGAGACCTTGTGGATTGCGACCTGATATTGTCAACACAGGTGCGAGCTTTCCGAGAAACAGCGCGCTCGAGACGAGTCGCTGGTGCACGAAATCTGGGTCGACACAGCGAGGCCACGTCTGACCACCCTCCTGGGTTTCGGATCACCAGAGCAGCGGGTCACCTTCATGTCGGCTGATGACGTACCCTTGAGCCCGCAATATTATGGGCGCAGCCGCAGACGCATTCAAATACGTGTTGAATTTCACTGCGTGAATCATCCTACTATTTCAAGTCAACCACCGCCAGGCTCGTGCTGCAACAGACTGTGACTCAGCTTTGTCGGCTGGATGTGCTGTGCATGCTAAGACAAGAGAGACGGCTAGCAGCGGGCTTTGGATGCCAGCAAACAATGACTCAAGAAACTCAAACCTAAGGACCTGCAGCACAAGATGCTCTGCCTCTACTCCTGGCACGCCACCGGGTTCAAGTCCCCGACTACGCAACACTTCTCAGAAGAGATAAGAGGACGCATAGAAAAATAGTTTGGAGAATCGGAAGGAGCCTTGGTCAGCATGGTAACAATGCCCAGCATCTCCTTGACCCTGGTGCCCCCCCCCGCCCCCCGAAAAATTGTGTTCTGATTGTTTTTTTTTTGGGGGGGGGGGGGGGGTATTTTTCAAGAAATGTAACGAAATACATATCACCCTGATTGTATCGCGATACAAAGGAACATTCCAAATGTATTTCGATACAGGAGCACAGATACTGGTGGAGAAAAGGTATCGCAATACAAAAATACAGATACGAAATGCATTACTGAAATACTATCGCGATACATTTGTATCGCAATACTGCCCAACCCTGCTTTCCTTCAACTCCGACAGGCTTTGGAGACCACACAAAGTACACATCGAGTGCCATTATTGGCAGAAATAATCTACTGACTGCTCAAACCCAAATCTGGAAACGGATGAAAAAGAAAGAAAATCCCGCTACCCACTTCCTCGGGGGTCCGCAATTCCGCCCTCACCATGCAACCCCCTTTTTTTTTTTTTGCTGCACTCCACAACACTTTTTCTACAAAAGAAAAGGACAAATAACAAAGCATGCTGAGCAACTGCTAAGTGCACGGTTCGTGCAAGCACGATGCTTTTTGCATTTTTCTTGCTGCCTATGGAAAATCAATTCTGACGCCGACATGTTTTTACACTATTGACTTTGAGTTGATGAGAGGGTGCGTTAAATACTGCAGTTAATTTTTGCACCTTTCCTTTCTAACAAACGAGCCCGAAGAGCATTTTTTCCTTCTCGGGGAGTTTCGGCAATGGCCCCCGATTTTTCCTTTTGTCATTTGGACCGAACAATGAAACTGTTGCAAACCGTGCAGCAAACGGTATGCCGGCGAGTCCAGGTACAGAACCGGTTGTAAGAGCCGACAAGCACGCGAGCAACTGAGCTTCCTGCTTTCTCTCTTTCGTGTCACGTGGCAGATGCTGCAGGGGTGAGGAGGAGCACGCAGGACTTTGCGCACGGATGTTAGGTTCTTTTGCAAGAGGTCTGTTGCCCATGCCTCGTTTCCCCCTTTCTGCATCAGAATTTGGCTGGCCGCCCCTTCCTCGTTTTATGGTAGCCAGAGAAGGCTATGCCCTTGACACAAGTCGGTCGGAGGAAGCAAGTGGTACGGTGTACCCAAGTTTCTCAGATAATTTTACGCCAGCCTCTCTGAACTCGCAAAACTTAACTACGAAACTATGTGTCCACCTTTTTATAGTTTGAAAGACAACTCGGAGGAGAAAGGCAGTATAAAAAAAATAAATGGGCGTCGCTCGCCACTCACTCAATGTCGCTGAATTTAGGAAACAGTTCGCTCTCGTAGCCAAACCGCTTCTTGAAGAACTCCCTGACGCACTGGACGTCCCGGTCAAAGTACCTGAGGCAAAAAAACAAAATGAACAAACAATCAGCACAATTCAGCTTCCAACACTCTGACCGTAGGTGGTGTCAGACGGTCAACAACGATGACGAAACTAAACTAATTAATTGCCAGCTGAAATTTAAAAAAAAAAAGAAAACTGCCGCACATGAAAGTCTTTGTTGAGGACAGTCTTATGCCTATGATGTACTACATACCGTATTTACTCACATAATGAACGCACCACCCACAACGGGTACCAATACAGTCTAAGCTCATTATAACAGACCTTGATTTTAACCAAGATTTCGATCTGCTGTAAAAGGACTATGTTGTATGCAAGGGTGGCCAGGCTGACCCGGCCTAAGAGCCGCAAACAAAACCACGAAACTTCCAAAAGCCACAAGGGGGGGGGGAGCAAAATTTTTGTCCAGAGCAATAAATGAAACTCTAATTACTTTCAATATATCCAAGTCAAAATTAGTTCAACTGTGTGTAAGGTAGTAGTAGCAGAAGACTACCGAACCGCAACATGCCTTTCGATTTAAAATGTGTTCCATTTCTCTTTTTGGAAAGTGCTCGTATGATCGGAAGGGAGGCACGAAAAGGAGGGGGGGGTGTAGGGGAGAAAGCCGCAAGCAGCACTTTAGCACGCAAAGAGCTGCATACGGCTCGCAAGCCACAGCTTGGCCACTCCTGTTGTATGCAGATAAGAATTTGAGTACATAGAGGAAAACCAAACGAACTTCACATATCGGTAGGTTATATCCAAATGTCTGTTGTAACCAGGTCTGTTGTAATGAGCTTAGACAGTATTTGGACTTTTTTTTCTATCGCATAATGAACACATTTCCAATTTTCGGCTCCGCAAGTTTCGAATTGGGTCAACTTAGCTAGCCACCAAGCCCACCAAACCAATTTTCTTTTGCCGCTAAGCGATCAGGCCATGTGAAGCCAAGTCAAGCCACTCTCGTAATGGCTGCAAGTGCATAGTTGCAGAATTGATCGACCTTAAAACTGAGTGGCGTGCACACTTGACAAAGCTTGGGTCGAGGAATCGCCCAGCCCCGAACATTCTTCGCCCATCGGATGCATTGATGTCAACAAACACGCCATCATCTGTGGTCTGCTTTCAAACAGTGAAATCGTGAAAGTGGTTAGGCCTAAGAACGGTCTTGTCGTTCTCCGTGGTGAGTGAGCTTCGTAGGGCGCTTTTCCTTTGGCAAAAGGCACGCCGAAAGCGCCCTAAAGAGGTTCGCAATTTATAAAGCATGGTTACAATGGCGTGCCCCTGACCAGCCGCGGGTCTGCCTCCGTCAGTGGAGACGTGCCACACACAGTAGCTTGCCGTGTCATATTGACACCTAATATGACATTAGCACGAAGTGTGTAAATGCAAAAATTTTACCCCGCGTAATGAAACCACATTCCAAATATGTGTATATTTTTCGGGGAAAAAAAGTGTGTTCATTATGCAAGTAAATACAATAGCATGCCTCCAGCAATCTGTAGACTCTTCTTACAAAAGCACCGAAAGGAGGCACTGTTGCGTTTTACGTACCCGCAAACATCCGGTCAAACGACCGGACAAACAATCCTCACCATAGCACCGCTCCTTGCAATGTTCATGAAATATTTTACGACCAGTACTCCAGGTGGTTAGCTGAAGGACCGGTTGGCGAGAGATTCGTTGCGAGAGTTTTCAATACTCCAGTGAGACGACCAAGCCCCTCTTACGTGTTGATAAGCACACCATAAAGACCTCGCTGAATCCCCAACTTCATTGCCCTAGGAATTGTGCCATCGACAGGCTCTGAAGGCCTGCCAAAATAGAGCAACCAGAAGTCTCTTGAAAGGCAAGAGATGGCTTGTGTTTGTAAACAAAAAAAACGGTCTATATATTTTTCCTTATTTTTAAAGCCTTACATGTTGTTTACCATGGATGCCCTAGGTTCAGTCAAATTGAGTACCAAAATGTAATAGTGCAAGACACATCCATTTTGAAGGGCCCGATAGTGGTCTACCAGAATTCTAGCACAATAATGATGCAGGGCTCGCCACACAGCCGGACAGTGTCTGCGACAAGCTAGCGTAAAACTGAGACGAGTCAAAGAGCTTTTTGGCAGCTAACAGAGGAATGCACATCTTCTAAACTTGCATACCTTTTCGCATCGAGCGGCCTGCACTTTCGTTACTTGAGCTCTCTTAGCAAAACAATGCAAACCTAAAACAGTAAGTAAGAATACTCACCCTATTTTCTATTTATATGGGAGAAATCAAGCAAGTTTAGCCAGAACACAATTTTCTCTCAAACTGCGCTGCAACACGCAGAAGCCACTATAAGAATATTAGACACTGGCAGTCCTCTGTCTAACACGAGCTATAAAATTTTATTTCCAAAACAATTGTTCAATGTTCCTGAGCCTTGAAAAACTAATCCCAATCTATGGCAGACCTGCTGCACGTAAAAAAATATTCGGGCACAAACAGTGGCGTCAGAAAGGGGGGGAGGGGGTCGCTCTTTTGGGCATTTAACTAATTTTGAGTAAACAATATGGGGGAGGTGGAGGGAAATTCTTTCCCGCCCCCTCCACTGTCACACACCACCTCCCGAACAGTTCCGACGCCTCTGGGCACGAATGCAGAGGCAAGTGGGTTTCAAAAACCTTTTGTTTTGTCAATCTTCACCCCCACGCGTCTCACGTCGGCTAGAACGTGCGACAAGTGGCAGCAACACTTTGCCGGGGCCGCCCCTACATCAATTACCATAATGCAAGTCCAACGCACCATTCGGCGTTGGCGTGCGAGGTGGACATCATCTGGGGGAAGTCGATGAGCGTGGGGCAGTCCTGGGCATCCACCATGAGGTTGAACTCGTTGAAGTCCCCGTGGATGAGGCCACAGTTGCCCAGCCGCACGATCAGGTCCATCAGCCGGTCGTACAGTTGCCCGGGGTCCTCTACCTCGTGCACCTGGCACCTGCACCAGACGCCCCATCCGCTGGTACCTCGCACCGGGCTCGCTCCTGGCGACGGGGGCTCCAAAGGAAATTGCTTCATGCCACACATTTCACGTAACACGTCCGAAGGAAAAGGTTCGCCCTGTTCAGACGCATCTTGGACGCTTGGGTACAACGGAGCAAAGACATCAGTGGCCCTCGTGGGCCCGTAGTGCCGGCGACGCTTTAATTTTTATGCGAAGATGTAGCGAAACACGAGTTTCAAGGTCTTTACCTAATTTTTTAAATTTCAGCTTTGGTGGCATTCGCCATCTAGTTTAGTGAACCAACCTCGAGCTTTCTTTTTGCCTCGTTGACTCTGAGCGACAGTACCGGACCTCTCCTTAAAGGGCAACTCCGGTCAAAAACGAAACCAAAATAAATGACTGGTATGCAAGCTCGTCTGCTTTTTGTACGGGGGGCTGTGGTGACGTCAGAACGCCTGCTCTGACTGGCTCCGGTGGCTACCATTAAGGTCTACCCACTATCTTTCCAATCAGAGCTCGACGTTCTGATGTAGGGGCAACCCCAGCGCAAGAAGCAGACAAACTGGCGCTCTGCATAGCTTTAGTGGCACAAAATATGATCACAGCCAAAACATTACGTCAAAATGAAGCCGCATACTCCGCTAAAACAGATTTTAAAGATGCGACCAGCCACTCTTTAGCAGGTGGCAAGCAGGTCGGCTTTTAGTCAAGGTGCCGCAGCACCCTCATGACGTCAAGTCGTGGTGGAGCTGCAGTTGATTCAACCTGTTGTACTGCTTGCCGCAGCACCACGGTGACGTGACATCGAGGGCCGTAGGTCAGTGTTGCCATCCCTCTGGCAGACAGTATCGGTTTTGCCGTGGACGCCCAAAACCAAACTTTGAGCCGTGATACTTGAAAAAACTACACAAAATATAGAGAAAAAAAATTATACCCTGTAGTTCAGGGACACTGTCTAAGCTGACAGCAGTCGTAATCCGAAATTCGAAAATACTGTCCGGAGTTGCCCTTTAATGACAGGCCAATGCATACGAGCCTTTTTTCGCTTATAGTTTCTCCGATTCGTTCTTGGGCTTGCAATACCTTACTTCAAAGTCAGGCATTGAGGGCGAGCTTCGGAGCCACTGAATTTTGGAACCAAAGCGAGAGCAAAACTGGCACAACAGCCTTTCTGATGCCGGAACAGAACCCACAGCAGACTGTGCGACTGTTGTGGGTTCTGTGCGACGGAGGGCGAGAAGCAGGAGCGACTCCAGCGACGACAAGACTCAGACTTACAGTGGATGTCCGTCGACGAGCTCCATCAGGATGCAGTGACGATTGAAGCCCACCGGCTCTGGAACCGGGAATCCCCTCTCGTGGAGCGCCTGGTGACAGAGAACCGCAGATACCCTCGAGATCTGGCTGCCGAGCTCGACGCACCAAAAGACGCGGAGCGCAACTGCCAGACGCAATGCCCGCACTTTACAGTACTAAACCCTTTTTGAAATTCAGTCCGGCAACTTTGATCACTATCATCGTCTCGGTGTATGGCATCTGTGCCAAACTATTGGCTGTCATCTTATGAAGCAAGAAGTTGAAGATGCTACCAAGCAGACGGTACATGAGGCCAGTACATTTCACACGTCAGTACAATGTGAAACACAAATCAGATACAACGGCTGCGCAAGGATGCGGTCCAATCAACATCTTGGAGCATGTTTGGCTCTAAAGGCTTGACAGCGGCAATTTAATCGAGGTGCTCATGGGCTGCCGCTTTGTACAGGTCAGTTCCTATGTTCACACCATCGAAAGCGAAACAAGTCGAGAAAGAATTACGAGGCAATCGAACCAATTCTCGTCTGCCACAGACGCGCGAAACTGATTGGTCCCCGATAAAATACTGTTTCGTTACTGCCATTAGTTTGTCGAAGTAAAGCTGCTCTTTGAGTCACCAGATGGCATTGAATTTCGAAGAGGGTCTACTGGAAGGCAAGCAAAGGAGAGCTGGAACTTTGTTTTCGCGGCCGACGAGGGCTACGGCTTGTCACGATCTTGGTGGTAGCAGGGATAGATACGGCAAGTGACCGATCTGCTGTAGCCCGCTCTGCAACCTGAGAATCAGTGGAAACTCCGGTGGTCGCGATGCGAGGCGCCGCAATGCCGACACCAGTTTGTCCGCCGCTTCATCGCTTTTATCGTCGACCACTGGAATCCCGACGATTCCTAGTGTTCCTCGGTGATTACCGTAACTTAGTGCGTACCCCCTCAAAGTTTTGGAGACATTGGGTGGCACAGGATGCCAAACACGTAAGTTGGACAGGCGTTCCGGCCTGCCCTACTTCTGCCACCAAACTGACTTCATTGCGTTAGTTATCTCCTTGTGTTACTATAAACATTCAGATTAGCAGGCAGTAGCAGCAAGCGCATCAATATTACAATCAGGGTACAGTAATATTTTGGCGTACGAACTACAACAAAACAACAAAAAGGAAATGTGGCCGTATGTGCTACTCCAGCCCAAAGTAACATTTATGCGATGAAACATGGAAAGCCACTAACACGGTCGACTGGAAGCTCAGAGTGCGAACGACGTACCTTCATGAAGGCAAACTCCTTGACGGCTGCCAGACGGGACAGGTACAGCCAGGATGCCTTGTTCCGGTGTTTGTGATAGTCCCTCTTCTCCTTCAGCTTCCGAAACGACACCCGACCCAACCTGTCAAGACGTCGGTGATGAACGGGAACACACAAAAAATGTTATAGTTATAACTGGAAGAGTCTAGTCCTAGTCGGTCCAGGTCCAAATACCGCTAAAATCTGCAAGAAAGTCAAACTGGAGCACTACAGAACTTATTGACAAGAGTGACCAAAATTAATGTCACAATACACGCAGGCGACAGCAGATTCGTCGTCCCAAAGCAATGAAGCACAATTTCAGTGAAAGCATGATATAGTACCCAGTTGAAGCAATGTTATGAAAAGAGATTCTGACTGTTTACCATATCCCCCCACCTGCCTCTAACTCGTGCCTTATTCGAGCCATAAAAAAGAAACGAGAAAACTTGCAGTCCGGGATCACCTGCTGATCTTGAGCACGAGATCTCTGCCATCCTCATTGGCTGCAATGTACACATCTGGAACGTGAAACAGAGAACCCTAAGCACGTTGCCTGGCACCGCCGTAGAGGGAATCCTCCGCCAACTGACCCGACTCCTTGCCGACACCAATCTGGTTACCGACGGAGTAGACCAGGCCCTGAGAGCACAGGGTCTTCAGGGCCAGGTAGTCGTAGCCTGTGTTTGTTAGGCGGTAGCCGTCGTCTGCGAGAGCAGAAAAATTAATAATAGCTTTATTTTTTGCGTAAGTGGGGTGCGGGAGCAGAGGAAAAAAAAGCTGCCCAGGCAGCTTGACTGGTCTTCGGCCCCCCTCAGGTATAAAGCGATGGAGAGAATAAAAAAAAACAAGGAAGAAGAATGCAAGAAATTATACAATAGTATAAGGTACTTCTATCACAAAAACAACAAAAACCACCAGCAATAAACAACAGTGATATTAGCCTACATATAAAGGGATACTGCAACGAAATTCAAGCACCTATTTTATTATCTAAATGTCAACTATGTTGTACCCACACAACAAAGACATTATTTAAAAAGAATAAACAAAATTTCGTTACGTCACTCTGAACTTCGAAGTAGAGCCGCTCAGCAGAAATACGGTGGCAAGCTGCGTCTGCGCGAGCCCTGTCGAACTTGGCCAAACAGGACTTCTCTCCTGCGGGGAGGGGCAACTAAAATGGCCAGGTTGTAATGCATCGACGCCTCCAAGTGGACGCTTCCAAGTGCCGAAGCTCACAACCACGCTAGCTTTCATGTAGCCTTGACGTAAATGAAAACATGATGTCACAAACGGGATGCGTCTCGGGAGCTCCCAAGATGCATTACAACCTGGCCGTTTAATCGCCCCTCCCTGCTCCTTGCAGGAGTTGAATAGGCGCGGGAGAGAAAGGAAATCCGGTACGGCCAAGTTCGACAGGGATTGCGTGCACGCTGCTTGCCGCCGTACTTCCGTGGAGCGGCGTTGCTTTCAAGTTCAGACTGATGCAACGATACTCGGTTTATTCCTGCAAAAAAAATGTTTTGGTGTCTTTTCGAGCAAAAAATTGCTGTCTCTGCGATGTGGCCAGAACGTGGTTGACGTTGACAATAAAATAGGTGCTAGAATTTCGTTGCATTATCTCTTTCTTTAAGATAAAAGAATTGGAAAGCTCAACACAAGAAAGAAAAACAAAGAATTCAACAAAATTATTTTTAACATATCTCAGGAGCATAGAATAGACTACTTCCAAAAATCCCTGAGTGCAACACTGCACGCATAACATTATGGGGCATCTTTGGCCATGGTAGGATGTACTACACCCAGGGATGGGCAAAATACATGCAAATATGTATCAAAATACAAATACAAAATACTTCGTCAAAAATTTATTTACTAATTACAAATCTAATTACATTTCCAAAAAAGCATTTAAGTACAAAACACAAATACAACCAAATGTATTTGGTCTCCTCCAAATACTTTTCTAAATACATTCCTCAAAATTTGCGTCAGCGACTTCAGGGCACCTGCAACGGGTTTCTGAGTATCTCATCTTAATTTGGCATCACACACACGGGAGTTAGTGTGCGAGGCTCTAGTAACGTAATAGAAATATAATCACAAAAAATGTAATCAGCTTGGACGTAATAGAGGAAAAAAGTACAGAGCTTCAAGCAGCTTTTTTTGTCGATTACATTTTGGTATAGACCAACAAAGAACCGAGACGACCAAGATGCGCAGCACTAGCTAAATTTTTTATTGTTGCAACTCGCACCAGTTACAAAAATCTGGACGACCCGCGCATTTAGAATGTTCCAGGCAAAAATATGGATGGAAATCAGGCTGGAAAGCATCACAAGTTGTCACAGGCGCTTATATAGCCAGTCTGCCTGTGAACGTCAATTTCGTCACTATTCTTGCCCTGGACTAGCACCGTAATCACAAAGTCACTAAACACTTGTGCTTGATTGAGAGACACTGCATTCGGTGCAGAACATAGTTTTCTTCCTGCTCTGGACAGTGACAATAAATTTGAGAGATGTATTTTCGCCCACAAAATTGTATTTAATTACAATTGTATTCGAAATACCCACGTTTTAGTATTTAAATACACACGTCAAATACATTTCCCAATTTGTAATTAAATACAAATGCAAAATACATAGAGTATTTGAAATACGTATTTCATATACTTGTATTTGAAATACTGCCCATCCCTGACACCCAACACCGTGACCAGTGAGTTCCCAAGATGCTTTGCGTGGCACTGTGCCGCCAGGATCGCTTTTATTTTGCAAGAGATCTATTACATTACAGTGTAGTTTTGGAACCAAAATACATTAAAAAAATCCCGCCTTGTCAAAAAACAAAAGCTTAAATTGGTCGTATGCAGGTTTAGGAGAGGGAAGCTAGGATGTTTTAAAAAGCCACCACCCAATCCTTCTACCATAGCCCAGTTTTGGGTAAAGTACATTTGAAATGTACTTGAAGTAAAGTACAAAGGAAATGAGAGGTCATGTACTTCAAGTGGAGTGGCAAGTACACCGGGCGCAATGTACTTGAAGTACTTTAAAGGGATACTACAACGAAATTTCGGCGCTCATTTTTCGGTCTATGTGTGTTCAGAAGAGCAGTATCACATGGAACATACCAATGTCTTGTTAAAAAAGTATCGAAAAGGAATTTCAAAACGAATTAAACGATTAGCAAAGAGCACCTGGTGTATGTCGCTAACGCCTTGTTTGTAATGCTCGTCTAGGAACCTTGACAGCTAGTGACGGAGGTTGTCTCGTCTCCGGCCACGACGAGAGAAGGGGGGAAGGAGGAACTCCCCTCTTCCCGAGAATCCCTTTTGTGTGTCGCAGAAGCCGCTATTGTCCCCCTAGAAGATTATAGAAGACTAACCCGTCACTCAAAATTCGTACAAAAGCAGCCGCTTCGGTGGCTGGAACAACTAGGCCATCCTCTCGACGTCAGCCTCGCCGTAGCTTTGCTCGTCTTGAGACGACCTACGTCACGATTGCGTTGGATGTCACGTGCTCTAAGCTGGGCCTTCTCCGAGCGCTTGCCAGAGAGGGCCGTTTATAATGAAAAATACAGCCACCAGGATCAAAATACAAACGTGCGATTGTCATTTACGGATATTGTGGATCATATTCAACCTATTTTTGAACACGACGGGAATATTTCAAATTTCGTTGAAGAATCCCTTTAAAGGGATGGTGAACCGAAATTTGGATTTCAGAAAAAACAATGCAGTAGATGTAGGCGGGACGCTACAATCCCTACTCGTAAGGCGATATCTCGAATGGACGGCCGTATTTTTGGAAAAAGAGGTTGAGATTGAACCAGGTCGATGAGGCGCTTGACATCAAAATGCCTAGTTTCCTCCTCTCTTCGCTTCGCTCCCTCAAGGCTGCGGGGCGGAGAAGACGCGAGGCCGTTCCCTCTCCTTCTCAGAGAAACATGACGTGAACATTTCTGTCAAATGCGCCTCCTTCTCTTGAAAAATATGGTTATCCGTTCGAGATATCGCTATATGAGTGATGTTTTGGTGTTTGTAGCATCCCATTGCACGCTTTTGCCGCATGTTTTGTGGAATTCAGGTTTCGGTTCAGCATCCCTTTAAATACAGTGTACTTTCACTGTATTAAGTGAAGTACAAGTACACAATCTTTTATGATGTCCGTCTATTCCCCTATGCAAAGGTTTTTTTGTTTGTTTGTTTCGTTTTTGTAAACTGGTATTCACTACCGATGGCGCAATCGAGGCTGCAATAAAGTGAAGTGGCTAAAAAGTAGTTGTTTTACTCTCGCCGACAAACTAATTAACAGAATCAACTTATAAGGCACCTTTTGGTTGACAGACTATTATTTCGCTATACAAATTTAACAAGACCAAATGCCGGGAATGTACTTTGAAGTTGGCAGTTGTACTTTCCTTGGAAAGTACCAGAAAAAATATCTTAAAGGGGCACTGACACATCAAAATCATTATTTTTTTTTATTATCCGAAACGATTGAAAACGATGCCGGGACATTACCCTCAAAACTTGAAATTTGGGAATTCAGTATTTGTGAAGTAAAAAAACAATTTCCAAATGCCGAATTCGAAGTTCCCGCGCGATCGGCACCGGTGCCTTGACGTCAAAATTTGCGGAGTCCTGAGAGTCCACTTTCTTTCACCACTCCCTGCTGTTGCCATGGCGACACAAAGCGAGAAGGAAAGAAGCGAGCGCCGGCGTTGCGGCGAACCGGTTTTGAACGGTGTCGCCTGTTTTCCATCGGAGGATACAAATCCAGGAGAGGGCACCACATCGAACTCCCGATTTTTGGTATTTCAAAAAGAAGGGCCGTAGTGCATTCGTAATTGCGTTAAAAAACATGTTTTAGGATTGCCGTAATTAAATGTTATAGAGATGTCGCCTACAAAGCTTCAACATTTCATGATTTTTGACGTCACCGATCAAAAGAAGCAAGGAGGCGAGGCGGGAAAATCAAACAACAAAAATAAAAAGGCGCGCGCGCGCGGGAAAAATATTTTTTTTTTGCGATGCGGTTTTTTTTGCGTGTCTATGACTGCAACTTGCATCGTTTTAGACAATAAAAATAAATACGACCTTTGGGGTGTCAGTGCCCCTTTAAGTAAAGTGCAAGCACTTACTCAAAGAATGTATTTCAAGTATAGTACAAGTTTTCTAAACTTACTTTAAGTAGTACTTTAAGTACAATGTATTTAAAGTACTTCCGAACACTGCCGTCGACTGGCAGTTTGGCCAGTACAGAATCACTGTTAACCAATAGCTTTTAACGAGTGTCACCCAGTAGGGATTTCACGACCACACGCCCAAACTTTTGCTAAATTATCCAACCACCAAGGTGCGTGTTTTGAGTGTAACTACATGCGTTGCATGTGCTGACATCTAGGGCAGTAAATGTTCTAAAGAAAAAAAAAACATCAAATGGTACCTTGTGCTTGCGTACATATACACCTTATTTGCATTATTTACAGAGAATCTTTAACAAAGTAAGGTCAGCGCATGCAGCGCGTCTTGCTACGCTCCCGGTCTTGGGTAATTTGAAGAAAAATGGATGCAGGGCTTGAACCTAAAATACCTGCACACAGAAGTATGCACACAAGGATCTAGCATTGGATCCGTGGGTCCTGCAACGCGAGCTTCTTCTTTCACCTGAACCCCGAGAACCATTGCGCAGACACACTCGACTGGAACACATTTGGGCCAACACTGAAGCTACCATACCCACTCAGAAGAGAAGGAAATACCAGCAATACAGCACCAACAAAATCACTCAAGTTAAGAAGCTGAACACAGGCTACCTTGGTGTACGACGTGCATAAAAGTTACAGCAGTACTGTAAGTGCCAAGGACACAGCCGCAGTACCTGCAACTAAGCGCGGCATAATGTCCGACGGCGAGCACTTACACCTTTTGCCACGCTCGTACGAGAGTAGCTTCTGCTTGCAGAGTTCACGAAGGTGCTTGTGGCATCCGCCATGCTTGAGGTTGGCGATCGAAGCGACCAGGGGCCCTGGCACCAGCTCGTGGTTCTTCATGCCCATCTCGACCTTGCCGAGGATTGAAAGAAAATTAAGAATCCACGTTATACCACGTTAACTTCGCCGGTTCCAGAAATGTCGCTCACCGATGTCAGAACTCTGAAATCCTCGGTCGTCATGTAGCGCAGCATGGTGAGATTTAGCTTTCCCATGATCGAGCTACCCGTTGAAGCTGCCTTATGTTCACCTAGCTCGGGACATTAAACGCAATCGAGGACCGTAAACGACCTTGTGAGACGTCAACATCAATAAACACGGCCAAACAAGCTCTCTCGCTCAACACCACGTGAACACTGAACAGCGAGCGTCGCCATCGCGTTGGATTGGATAGTGTATTTGAACAGCAAAAAGTCGACTATGTAGCCACAAAAAATGAAAACCAAAAAAAAAAAACGTTTAGATCAACCTCAATAAGTATTCCAATATAATTCAATAAATACTAATAAATATTCAAAGCGATTTTATTTTTATTAGAGGTGAAGTACAAACGTGATAACAATTTTTGATCATTGATCGAAACCGAAACTACCGAAAGGACTTGAATTCATTTTCAAAATGGCGGTGCGCTGTTCTTTTTAGTGTTCTTGCGGCTCCGCTGGTTCCGCTCTTTCGATGCATCCGTTTCCTATCGTACTGCTTCGTAACCACGCCAAACAGACCTGACCGCCCAGGATGCAAAACAAGCGCGTAATCTTCAAGTCCAGGCCGGGGACGGACGGCGAGCCTCAAGCCCACCACTTCGGTATCGAGACGTGCATCACGCCCAGCCAGATCCCCGAGGGCAACGTCCTGGTGCGAAGCGTGTACCTTTCCATCGACCCGGCCTTGCGCTGCCGCATGAACGCTCACACCGGAGTTCACTACCTAACCCCGTGGGCCCTCGGCGAATGCGTCGAAGGCCTGGGTGGCGTCGGCGTCGTCGAAACATCTCGATTCGAGGGCCTCTCCAAAGGAGACGTGGTCTGCAGGGCTCTGTCCTGGCCGTGGCAGATCTACTTCGACACTCCGGGCGACTCTCTGGAGAAGATCGACGTCGAGGCGCTCGGAGGCGACGTGTCTCTCGTGCTGAGCTGCCTGGGCCTGACGGGCCTTACGGCTTTGCTGGGCCTACGTGAGAAAGGAGGCATTAAGCCCGGGACTGGCCAGACGTGCGTGGTGTCGGCGGCTGCAGGATCGTGCGGCTCGCTCGCGGGTCAAATCGCCAAGCTGGACGGCTGCGCCAGGGTCGTGGGTATCTGCGGAAGCCAGGCCAAGTGCACGTTTCTCCTCGAGACACTCAAATTCGACGCGGCCATCAACTACAAGACCGAGGACCTCGATAAGAGGATCCAGGAGACTTGTCCTGCTGGTGTTCAGGTGAGGTCGTGTTCAGTCCGTGGCACAAGCGGATATAGAAAAGTATTATCACGGTGCAACTTACAGGATAGAAACGGGCTACTTTGTTCTCTTTCGCAAAGCACTCTGTGTTCGTCATTTCTTCGCTATTTTTTTTTTTTTTTTTTTTTTTACGCTTTAATTCTGTACAATGAATTACCAACTAGTCCAAGTGCATATCCTTTAAGAGTGTGCTGAGGGGATTGCGATGTTGAAGTATCAGTGGGGGTCGCCTCAAGTTGACAAATGTTGTTCGTGGATTGGACACGACCATCGCAAAGCACGTAAAGGCCCGTTCACACTCTTGCGACCCACTTCGACCGAGAGAGACCAGACCGGTTTTTAAGCCTTTTGCGACTTAGGACTGGATGCGATGCAGCGGAGCTAGTCCTAAGAAGTCGCAAGAGGCTTAAAAACCGGTCTGGTCTCTCTCGGTCTAACTCGGTCGCAAGAGTGTGAACGTGCCTTAACTCGTGTTGGTTACAGTGGGTTACAATACATGCTTTGCACGTGACGTCATATGGCATGATACCAGCCGCCATTGCTCCTTACCATGCTCATTTTCCCGTACATCCTGCAGCATACATTTCGTACCATCAAATTTGTTCTTCTCGTCAATCCTGGCCTAGAAGAACAAATTCGATGGTGGCATATGTATGCTGCAGAAGGTGTGATCACGGGAGCATGGTATGGGGCAATGGTGTCTGATGTGACGTCAATGCAAGCTTTGTATTAATGCCTTCGGGCATCAAAGTTGACAGTTTACCATAGACAGTTTGACCAGTGTGGAATAACCCTGTGGTCATCGCAAACCACGTGATCGAGAGCTTTGTGCCAGTAAAAATACATTTTAGATTTGTAGAACCAAACAAAAATATATTATTAACACAGTGTAAATGATATTGAGAACCGAATAATTTCAAAAGAGCGAAAGTTTCTCAAATGAATATTTACTCTTAAAAGCGCTTTCTCACCACTGATAGGGTAACTAAACACTTTTTCTGTTTCAGTTTTGTTGTTTCATTTTTAAAGATGGCGGCCTCTATGGTTTCTTTTTTTGTTTATTGGCTTCCTGCGTCCGCTTGCATTGCGCCTTCACTTTATTGTGAAGTGTGCACCACTGGACGGCAATCGCAGGTAATTTATTCAAACGAGATATTTCAAGCAGGCAACTGTTTGTTTTCGCTCTACATAATACAATTCATACGAAAAAGTTGCGAACAGCAGATGCAATAATGCAGTTGTTGAGGGTTATCAGCGAACAGATATGGTAGTACAAACAGTTTGGGTGTTGGCCTTCAGACTATGTACATAAAAAAAGATAAACTGACGATCAATCAACACAGTCTAAGCAGGTAAATGTGGAGTCGCGGTAACGATAGAGTCGAAGTAACGGCATTTCGAGATAGCTATTCGTACAACCATTTTTCTTTTTGCAGTGCTCCACATAATGAGGGTTGTTAGAAACCAGTTGCTTTAATACAGTAACTACGGGAAAATGTGGTTAAGAATAAAGCTGTGTTTGGAAGTATATTAGACCCACCCGCCATTTTCCCTGACATGAACGTTCAAAATACCTGGTCAGTTTCCCACAAGACGAAAAGGAAAACACTGCTCCTCAACGGCCATTGTCACAGTCACTCCTGGGCACCTAGGTTGGACATTTACGTGTACGATTGTAAATGTCACGGAAGTGACATATCGTCTGATTGGCGGAGCCACCAGAAGAGCCGAGTAGGCATAGAAACGTAGGGTTCCTAATTAGGGCTTGGTTGGACGTCCCCAGAAAATTTCGAAGGGGGGGGGGAGGCGGGCCCCATGCCCCCCCCCGGGCTACGTGCCTGATTACACCCAACCGGACTGATCTCATCAAATGTTCACGTTCAAGTTTTCTGGGGGGTTTGTTGGATCTAGCCAGTCGATTTCTTTAGCGCAATGTTCGTTTGATGAGTTTCCCTAGAGAAAGCCTTTGCCCAGACAATACAAACTATAACACATGGTGTTTTGCTACTTCTGCAGTCCCCGAAGCTCAATTCTGTCGAGATATTTATCAGAGTTCAGAGGTTGGGACCTCAACTTCGTGCTGCATCTCTGGTCTTGCCCAGAGTTTCTTTGAAAGCAAAGAAAACTTGTGATAGCGCGTCAGAAGTACAGCGTATGGCAATATGAGCTAGCCCGGCAGCGTTAAGCCCGAGCTGGCACAAAATCCGCACATGCCCTAACGTTTGTTAAGCTGTTCAAAGGGAGGTTGGAAACGATTGCCACATTTCCTATTGTTGCAGTGTGGCAGTCAGTTTTATAGCTTAGCATGCCAGAGGCACCACATGCAGCATTTTACCTTTTTTGGCTAGCACTAGACTAGTCGAGCTCATATTGCCACTAATTGCAACTGCTCAGTTTTAGTGAAAAAGAAAAAAAAAAGTTATGACCCCACATAACCAACCCGTAGGAACCGGTAAAAGCAATGACTGTAAATACAGTGACGGCTCAATAATAGGAATACCCCACTGTTTAGACACCATTTTCGAGAATTGTGTAAACACATAAATATTTGTCTCGTTATTGTAGGCAACTCATATTACGGACAATTTTGGGGGGAACGGAGCTGTCCATATTAGCGAGACATGGCTGTATAAGGAACTGACAGTTTACTTTTTCATAGCACTACCTCTTTCTGTAAGGACTCTTTGTAATGATTTAGCTCAAACTGGCAACACTCTACTAATAAAGAGGGTGTTCAATGAGCTCGGTTATGCGTGCCACTGCGTGTCAAGTGGGCTTTGAGAAGACGATGAATTAAAGAACAATTTCTCCAAGCTCAAGAGAAGAATAGTCTCGTTCTTCTCCACTGGCTAGCACAACATGATGGCAGCTGGCAGCAACGGGTTATTGTTGTTATCTTCCAGTGGATTTCAGAACAAGGTCTACTGGCCCGATAACATGTGGTTGTCGTGCTGATGGCAACAGCGCCAGTATTCGGTAGCCTAAAGTTTTAATTTCCATAACTGCTCTACGCTTTGCATGCCAAATTCTGAAAGACCTTTTTTACAAAGAAGGACTTGATATAAGTCAATGAAAAAACAGTGAGTGCGCAGGCGAGCTGGTGGATGTTGATCATGATGGAGAAAACCCGAGACTGTAGTAAAAGCAGGGAAACGGAAATCTTTCTTCTTCGACACGATTTCCCTGCTTTTACCACAGTCTCGGGTTTTCTACATAATGATTGATATAAGTCCTCCTCAGTTTGCATCCTGGTTCGACCGCATAAGGTTCTCCTTCTCGAGTGTCTCATATATATGCCGGAAATAACTATGTGTCGAAGGTATCCCAGAAATTAGCCTTTGGACTAATGACTTCAAGGGGGTTTTCAAGACAGCCCTGATGAGGAAGAAGAGCCCTCCAAGCCTCTGTTTTTCCCATATAAGCAGAACTGCCACTACTGCACTTACCCAACATTTACGCAGTTCGTTATATGACGAGGTGCGGATTATTGTCAAGTGATCACTTCTGGCTGTAACAGTGATAATTGCACAAAAGATAATAGGATAGGTACGCAAATTGTGCTGGGGGAGCGCCTGGCTCAGCGCAATAGGTACGCATATTGTGCTCAGAGTTATTACGGGTCGACATTCTTTGTCCTAACTGTAAGTTAATATCTAATTGAAAAAAAGAGAACTATATATATATATATATATATATATATATGAATAGATACGATTGTCACAGTAGTTTCCGTGTTTCGATCGAAAGAGCAGCGAACTTTGACGTAACTCTGGTTCCTACGCCGCTAAAAAGCACATCAGGGCTGCCAACCCGAGGCAAATTTCCCATGTTAAGGTAATATTCAGGTCTATGTGGTAACGAGGGAAATTTCGGGCGCCGTATATATCTTAAAATTTATAAATCGATTATGATTTTTTTTTTTTTTTTTGAGATAACTTGGAATTTTAGCGGTTTTGTCTACATTTGGCTTATTCCCTTTAGCCGTTTGGCGGTTTGTTGTGCGACCATCTGACAACCCTGAGGAGAACTCGAAAAACTTTTTTTCGGCAAAATCAGTTTTCATCGCCTAAGTGAAAATTATGGTCCCTTCATAATCTTCGACTTGGCTGCAGCCAAGTCGAAGCCACTGATCTCTATTTTAGTAGGCTGGATCGCGGACCGCGGCCTCGGCAGCTGGGGCCACTGATCTCTATGGCTGGGGCCGAGTGTCGCCACCGGCGGCTATTGATTGACACCAGCCAATGCATGGGACTCTATGGGATGAGCGAGAGAAAGTGACGTTTTCCCCTGTTTCTAAGCTGTTGTCGGTACTGAAAATTTTTGGATGCTTTTTGATAAGCCGTCAAATAGTTCGCATACAAACATTAAAACTGACAGCACTCGCAGTTCTTATAAATAAATATTTTGTGGTCGAGAGTGACTCCGCTGTAGTGCAGCTCAATAAGACGAGAGTTACCTAGATTACCGCGGAGTCGGTGGCGGTTTCGTTGAGTTGGGTTTAGCAGACGACAAGCTCGAAGGCTTTGCTACGCGGAATTCGCTCACTCCCGGAAAGCCGCTGTCGAGATGGAAATTCTTTGTCATTCATCAGCTTCTGGGCTTCCCCGAGGACGGTCTCATTGACGGCGAGTTCCTTTATTTACTCCACTACGCGAGCAAGCTTGCCAGCTCAGCTGTAGGTGCTCCGGTACGTTTCACTTTTTCAATCGGTGTTCGATCGTTTGACAAATAACGATTTGATCTACAATCACCCGACATAAGGATCGCAGCGCACCATAAAATACTCGCCTCCGAGCACAGCGTACATGCTTCAATATTCTTACTTTTGAGCATTTCTCCCATAGACTTGCGTGTATTGCCTGGTGTCAAGCAATGGCCGCCGGTGGCGGCACCGACGGGCTCCAGATCCGCGATCCAGCCTACTATAATAGAGATCAGTGATCTCAACTGTAGATGAGCGATTTAGCCAGAGCGGAACAACCGCCACCTTGGGGTCTTTGACGTGCACCGCGCAGTAGTGATACACGACCGCACGCCGGTACGATGCTCATCCAGATCGAAACGGGCAGGGGTGAAGAAGAAATACTGTGATGTCAGGAGATTCAGACTTACCATGACAAATAATATTTCGTGAAGTGCCGTCTGTGTTGAGTTCTGTGTGTTCGAGTTTGAGAACTTTCACTTTTGTTGCACCTTTTGATTTGGACTAAAAAAAAAGCGCTAATGAAGTTATTAAACCAGTACCATGTTCTGATAACGTGCGTAATATATAAGGCGAAGAAAGGGTTTCATTCGTCAGTTTGAATCTCCTGGTAACACTTCTCCTCGCCAGATTTGGTTTGACTACGGTTTTGGCCCGGTAAACTCTTTTTCTTTTTTTTTTTTTTCTTTTTTTTTTTTGCGAAACGTACGCGAGGGTTAAAGGCTATATAATATATCTCTCATCGCAAAAATGAAAATGATGCGGAAAACAACGGATATTTAGTAGTATATAATTATTTGGGCAAGCGAGGGAAATTTTGGCCGAAATAGGAACATTTCAGGCGTTCGCTAGGGAGATTTTGACTTCCCATGTTGGCAGCCCTGGCACACATGTAGCCTTTAATACTCTTTTTGGGTGGTTGCTTTTGCAGTGCATAATATTAGAGTCTTGAGTTTGTTAGGTTTATTAAACTTACGAGACGCATTTTAATTGGTAGACGTGTTACCGGATGTGCTGATTTTTGCTGGCCTTAAAAACAATTATATTTACACATTAGACAAACTGCCTAGTGTAAAATGAAAAGGCGAGACAGGATTTATCCCGGATGCGCTATGATTCACTTTTCAACCATTTTTTACGACCCATGGTAAATGAAACCTTCTCTGACTACAGCCTTATTTAACAAGACTGCGTTTCTTTTATGCTTTATCTATGCTTATCACAAACGGTGATAAATAATATGCTCAAGTATCAAGGTGGAACCCTTTATCACTCTCATAAATAAACTAATTTAGAGATGCTATCACTTTTTCTTTCTCGAATGATGTGCTAACAGATGTTGGCATCTGCTCCAAAAGCGTCAGTGGCCCAATATTTGGGCTGCTACAGAACCTGCTACAAAAGGTCAAATGCCGCTCCCATCACTGGGCTTTTCGTTAGACTGGGGCGTAATGTTTTTTGGCATACATTCCAGCTTATGAACACTGTATTGCTCTGGGTCAGAAAGTGTGTGTACGAAATTTTGGGTGAATAAATACGTTGTTCCACCTAAAAACAGTGTGTGTGTATGTATGTGTGGGTATTTTAAGTTCGCTGGCGCCTTTAGACAAACAATAAACTTACGCCAAGACGACATAAAACACTATTTATTTTACTTTTATTATCTAATTACGTCTAAGGGCCCCAAAAAGGGTATTGCATAGCATGGTGTATGCTAACACTGTTTGTAAGTATTCGTAATGTTAGCGCAATAATGTACGATAAACATATTAAAAAAGAAACACGATTAGTTACAGGAAACAAAAGGACACGGCACTGCAGCCTCACGTGACATATGGATGAAAGCCACATCTCTTCGCAGGTGTACTTCGATAACGTGGGTGGCCCAATCAGCGACGCCGTCATCCGCCACATGACCCCGGACTCGAACGTGGTGCTCTGCGGACAGATCTCCGTGTACAACAAGGACGTGCCTTACCCTCCGCCGGTCGGTCCTGGTGTCCAGAAGGTCATGGACCAGCGCCGCATCAAGAGGGAACGCTTCCTCGTGCTCCGCCACGAAGACAAGTTTCAGCAGTCCCTGGTCCAGCTATCGGAGTGGCTGAAGAGCGGCAAGCTGACGGTCCGCCAGACGGTCGAGCGGGGGCTGGAGAACGCGCCCAGGGCTTTCGTCAGCATGATGAACGGCGGCAACATCGGCAAGCAGGTGGTCCTCGTGAGCGAGCTCGCTAATGACGCGGTAGCCTAGAATCTTCTCGACGATATCAGCCGGCTGAAATATGTGATAGCGGTGGTGCTATCGGGGACTGGGCGTTGTGTTGTACTCACTCCCACTGGGACATTGAAACTATAGGGACCAGAAAAACGAAGCGGGCCTTCTTCGGGATACATACCGAAATATATGTTTGAGCTATAAGGAATATATACTGTGCACCGTAAACGATTGCCGACATTTTGAATCTGAAGTTCTGGCGCGATGCCAGTTCGGTTGGAGGGCATTGGCAGGTTTGAGAATGTAAGTTCTCCCTTTCTTAAGAAATGAAAATAAAAACATATACCTCCGCACATTTTACGTGAAATTGTGTTTTCATAATTATGCGCGAATTACTTAGCTTGTCGAAAGACAAGCCCGATGATGGGGGTGAAAAACTTTTATTCAATGAAGGGAGAGTTTGCAGGTTCAAGTGGCACTTTACATAGGTGGAGGCCTTAGTCCGGGACCCTGCTGGACAGTACACCCGCGCCCGTTGGACTAGAACCCTTTGAGACTCCAGCCCCGAGCATTGGAGTATAGGGCTGCCTCCCATGAACCCGGTGAAGGATACGACTATAGTGATATGCCTTAAATTCGTGATTCCGATGAGCAAAAAAAAAAAAGAAGGAACAGATCACAACATCCAGTCATCCTCGCCCCTCCGCTTGTGGGCGATGGCTGTGCCACACCGGCTCACCTACATTCTTTCATTTCCTAATTATTTTTATAATCCATACACGTTCATAATGCGATTCTTGTCAAGTTTACATACCCAAAAAAAAAAGTTAAAAAAGGTTTCTCTCTTTCAACGTGACAGATTTACCAGAGGCCACCAACCCTTCTATCACGGCACGAGGGCAACTTTTCGGCTGCCCATGCATCTGACGTTGCGCCATGGCTTTGGCTGTGGAAACGTTACTAGAACAATCCAGTTGGGAAACTCAGTGATGTGATTGCTGCGCCAATTGCGCCAAACTGCGCCAAGGGACTAACCCTGCTACATCCTGCTACATTTTGCCAAAATATGGGTAATTTGCGCCAAGCCTGCGCCAAAGGAGCAATTTAGGTCGCCTTTCAAAACCGAAACTAAACTGAGTACTGTAATTGAGCAGGTGTTATGTGACGCAAGCGGCCGCCTGACACAAGGTACTGTGCGTCAATTGTCCACCGGGTCTTGCATGGTTTTCCCGGCGTCTCGCACGCTAGCGTGCCGGGTACCAGTGATGCCGTCATGCTGTGAAACCAAACCACGTGTTTGCGCGGCAGGAGTTACTTTGTGAGCTGAGGCAACGGCCGTGGGAAAGCTATATTTGGTCAGTGCCTTTCAGTCACCGTGGTCGTGCGACGTCGAATGTTGCCGTCCCCACATCACTGCAGATATATGGTACTTTCTAAAATCAACCTAAGTACCGCCGCATGTTCATCAACATTCCTGTTCCTGTTTAAATCGTACGTTACTACAGAAATTCATCTTTAATTCAAAGACTGCTCTGTCAAAGTATTGATTATCTAGATTCCTCTCGGCGGGCCTTCTTTCGAGAGGGACCTCGATACGTGAAAAATCTGTCGTGAAAGAAAGTTGGTGAAGAGAAGTGAGCTAAAGCACAAAAGGCAATGTCTGCACGCTGAACCAGCACAGCGTGCTTGTTTGTGTCGAGTTCAGTCGTTGCACAAAGCACTCCAAGAACTTTTTAAAGCTGGCTCGCAATGTCTTGCATCGATGCACTCAGGTTCTTTATTTTTTGTTTTTAGCTTGTACCTTGTTTGCCCGCCTGGCAAGCACGCGCCGAGGGACTGTTTTTGTCGCATGCTCGAAAGTTACATTTTGTGTACAATTTTGAAGATAAGTTATAGCGACGGAGCTGAGGGGCATGATTTCGGGTTCGATTGGACAGACATTAGAGAATTTTAGTAGATCGTTCCGATACCCCCGATAGCCCCGGTAACGATACTATGCAGGCGCAAGGGAGGCGGTGGCGGAGTATCGGGTATCGTTATCGGAGTCATGGGAACGATCTACTAAAACTCTCTACTGTCTGCGTTCGCGCGACGAAGCATGCCCAACAGCAAGCCCGCCGAAGTTGGCCTCACGCGCATGCGAACATGATTGCGTGACTGAGGCACCAGCTGGGACGCTTGCAATTCATTGTTTTACGTTTTCTTACTTTTGACGAAATTCTGGCGCGTCGGGAACGGGTAAAACGGTGGCAAGTGGTTTTTCGAAATTGCTTGGCAATGCCTACAGCACTGTACACTTGTGAGATGTCTGAGCAGTAAAAACAGAAGCAGTGAGTTCCGTCACAACACGTCACATCGGAACACAACACAAAGTGCCCTTCGTTTGTAAAGCACTTGAAACAAATATTTTTATTGTCCTAAGAATATCTGCTCCAAAATCCACTTCTGCTGCTCGGAAACACTGTCTTGGCTGCTCCAAAAGCCGCTTTCGCTGCTCCAAAACACTGTTTTGGTTGCTCCAAAGGCCACATTTGCTGCTCCAAAACACTGTTTTGGTTGCTCCGAAACGTGCGCCAAAATGGCTTAGGCCAATCACATCACTGGAAACTGCCATAGAGCCTGCTTTCAAAAAGTGGCTCCGATCCGTACTCGAGAACCGAACTAAAGGCGATCGCAACGCCGCCATTTCTCCCGCAGCGGCCACTCCAGGAACTGCATGGCTGCATGCGTCGGTTCAGGTCGAGTAGCGCAAGGTCCGGTGGCACCATCTCGCAGTGCCATTTCGCAGTTACAATATACATCAACTTTCATGTTTTGAAGGATGGCGCTGTTATCGTATTTAGTTTGGTCTCGGGGACGCGAGCGGTCCGGGTCTCGAGGGTGAATACCTCCACTGAGTGTTTTAGTAGCGTTGGCTCAGCTGTGGCACGCAACATACGCAGACACTTTGCTCTTCTGGAAACGGGTTTCTGTGCATGCTCATACAGACAGGTCACAGCTGCCGCGGGCAAAAGCGCTTCTTTATCGTTTATAAACTTGGAGCCCTGCTACCGGGCCGGCACAGCGACGTATATCATACTATATACCACTTCTCAAAACACGGTGTGGTAGCCCCAACCACGTGACGCGCGTCGGCCAATGGATGGGATGCCGTCGACCGCTTCCACCAATCGGCATCGCCGATTGGACGCCATCTTGGTTCTTGCGCAACCGGGAAACACGAACGAAGCGTGAGCGCCGAGTCGGCGCAGCGTTTGGAAAAAAAAGGTAAGCAAGGTAACGCGAGACCCTTCAAAACACACGGCTGCTTTGAGAGAGACAACTGGGGCCGAGATAAAAAAGCGCTCGATAAGATACGCACCGTCGAACCTTGGAACTGACGTTCACGCGGGAGCAGGCAACTGCGCCGCCGAGCCGCTCGCCGATCAAAGGCGGAATCGTCGACGCCGGCGTTCTGTGGCGACGGTAACGCTCGCCCACGACCAGTACACCATGAACGTCGGAATAGGCCTGGTTGCTGTGACGCTCGCTCTGCTGCTGGCCGCTGCTGCGGCCGGAGAAGGCCACTCCGTGAGTATACACACGCGATGCGTGTTGTCCACTTGGAACCACGTCACGTACGACACGCCCGCCCTTTTTCTGCGTCTCCGGTCCCATGCACAGGCTGTAGTATCCCTCAGTTAGCCCGAAGTATGGCCACCCTCTATCAAAAACTGCTAGGTACGCCAAAACAGCACGAATGATAGTATGGGACCTGAACATCGCATTCCGTTCCGGACCATCTTTCAAAAAATTGCCAGGTAGTACGCCAAAAGAGCACGAATGACTGTTTCAGCTCATATTGTCCGGGATAGTATACTGTGCAACTAACAACATGAAGAATCTGGGCGACCGTTCTGGGTGTTACTTGACGAGAGAGTCAATTGACACCCTTTTTGGGTGTCGCTTGACTCCTTCGTTCAAGGGTGTCACACCCCCCAAAAAGAGTTACAGTAATGCCCTATTTTAAACCGCTTTCCTCCCTCCGCTAAGTCCGCGACGAAGAGGCCGCTACTGCGCCTGCGCGTCGCTAGCCTGGACTGAAAAAACCCGGATCATCTCGTAGCACGTTGCGGAGAGCGTTGGGGACGACGGAAACGATCTACAAAACCTCCCTATCATCGCCCGATTTATGTTTCGATCGTGCAGATTTGAGGGCAGCAGGTCAGAACTATATACGATGACGCGACGCTCTGAGAATGACGAAATTATTTTTCAAAAAGATCCGGGCGGCGTCAGGGTTCTCGCACTGATTGAGCGCCGCCATTGGTGAGATATTGCGCGAGACAGCTCGAAGAGCCGGACAGATGATAAAGCCAACACATACTACCGGTATTTGGCCGACAGGAAGCAGTTATCGGAGTATGGGCGCTTTTATCTTTGGCAAAAAAAGGAGACGTCTCTCGAGAAGACGAAGAAAACAATCACTGCGAGAGAGGAATCCGGACGCAGGCCAAAGACCCCCCTTTTCCCGCGGCCATGTCAGCGAAGCCATGGTGTTCGTCCATATGGGGTAGCTAATTGGCGCAGATGGCCTCGTAGCTTTTGCGCCATTAAACCCCAAAATCTTTCTATATAGAATAGCTAAAAGATCGGCACACTGCGCTTTTGCGGGATGACGTGCAACGAACGGGCGCAGCGTTTTATCTATACTCCGTCACAACTTTTCTTGGCAATGCAGTGGAAGGTACAGGCCCGCGTCTCCTCTCCCATTCTGAGTGTGCGCGGGCTCTCCTCCTCTCCCCGGATATGGGGGAGGAGGAGAGCCTGCGTACACTAGACATGGGAGAGGGGACGCGGGCCTGTACCTTCCACTGCATTGCCAAGAAAAGTTGTTGCGGAGTTTTTTTTTTTTTTTTTTTTTTTTTTTTTTTTATAATCTCTTATACGAACTCGGCAACAGCCGGAGCTTTGATGGGAGGAAGATGTCCAGGGAACCCGAAATTCAGCGACGCGGACGGCACGATGTCGCCAAAAAATATGGCCAGAGAGGAAGCATGGAAAATGCACCACTCGGGAAAATGCGACAGTGCGCGCCGATGCCCCCCGTTTGTGTCGGCGACAGCAAAGGAGCTGCCTCCGAGACAAACGGGGGCTCGTGCTGGGAAAAGGATGCGACATAAAAATATAAGAAAACAACAACTAACGATATAGATCGAGGAGTCGTCCGTGTTTACCCCTAAGCTGAGTCTGCAGTTGGCCCATTCGTGTCGATCCTTCGCCGCCACATGATCGCGCTCCCGCCCACGTCCTCGCGCGTTGGGTCAGGTGATGAAAGGGAGGCGGCTGATTGGTCCGCACAAACACTACGGTCTCGCACAAAGTAACGCTGCTTCCCGTGGATTAGGTTGGTTAGATCGGCTTGCAGATCGTGAATCAGATGCAAAAAAAAGAAAAAAAAATATATATAACAATAATAATAATATTCGGCGGTTATTGAACGAGTAAAATAAGACGTGTCTGTGGTATAAGTTTTGTACGAGAGCGCACGAAGCGGTCTCTGCACCATTTGTGACCCGTCTCGATGTGATGGCAGCCTCAGCACAATGAGAAACAAAAAGCCCGTTTCTACTGCGCTTTCAAGGAGGGGACGTCGTTAGGCATGAAAAGCAGAAGGCGTCTCGTCACGGTTAGCATATTTTCTTGTTGCGCACAAAGAGACGACCCATGCTGCAACGAAGGTACAGAAAGCGCCGGCTGACTGGCTTTGGTTGGTGTCGGGTGCAAGCCGTCCATTCAAAACTTTGTGATCCGACATTTCTTCGAACAATGCGTTAATTGTACGTGCTGCACGTTTCGAGTTTCCCGGGCTGAACCGTGCTTTGGAAACTGAACTTGCCCGTAAAGCCGATTTGTGAAAGCCCCTTCGATATTCACTTCACCGCAGATTCTCTTTTTGTTAAGCCGAACATTGAGGAACGAGAAAAATTGGACACAAACACATAGTTTACCAATCGCCTGTCTTTCGTGGCTCTGTTATTTTTTTATTGGTGTTTGTTATTCAAAACAGTAGCTTAGGTTCAGCGTATATTTAACACGCTTCAATAATAATACAAATAATAAATATTTGCATGCATTCAAGAGCATGCTTGTACATTATCAGATCTCGCTCAATCAGACGTTGGTCCAGCAAGGATTTCGACATCCATATATCGAAAAAAGATATTGAGGGCTACATAAGGAGTTGTGGTCCATCAGAGACTAAAGCGCAAAACTGATTTTTTTTTTTAATTGAGTTTTTATAGTTTAGTTTGTTGGGGGTCGAACGCGACCAGTCTACGGAGGTGTAAGCGGTAAGCGAACTCTCGAGGGGACAAACACCTAAAAGACCTTCGAGATGGCAGTGCTCTTCTTCGAGAACAACTTGTTATTATTTTTGAAGCATACATAATTTTCTTTCTCTCCCTTGTTACTTTTTGCCCCATATCTCACTATCTTTGTTAATAATTGGACCAGTTCCAAATTCTCAGTAGTGAAGGGAGAAACTGTCAAACGGGTGTTTTCAGGGACGTAATTTCGTCCACCATTTTGTTGCTATGAGCTGTCTGGCGTGTGCCGAAGGGAAGTATTCCAAGAATTCAGCCTCATATGCACAGAAGCGCTTCATCACGCTCACATCGGAAGCCAGGTTTCTGGTGAAATAAAGAATGTTTTAACAAACAAAAGCTAACAGCAAAATGGCGGATGAACGTCACATGGAAACGCCCTATACTCAGCAATTAACACGAGTTCCCGGCTGCACTTGGCAATTTAAAGATCTTCGACCCCGAAGACGGTGCGTCGATGTTGATAGTCCACGTTGACGAAAACATTTCAGTCGCGATGATAGGCCATTGCAGCACGGCCAATATCATTCTGCGTCGCATGCAGACTATCGAAATCTCGAAAGATGCGGGAGGGGACCCATGCAGATGTCTTCGGGGCCGCGTGCATGCTGCCCGCATATCCAGAACAATCTGCCCTTGAACACGGATATGAACTGCTTTAGTATTCAAAGTTGGGGAGGAAAACCATGCATACTTCTCTTGCACGGTGCTCCAGCCCTTGGCAGGGACGATGAACCCATCCACGGCGGCACCGTCGCCAGCGCCATCGACAACAGCTTGCAGCGTTTCCATGCCGGACTTCCACTTGTCCGCGGTGAGCGCCAGGAACGCCACGGTCCAGCTGGTCCGGAGGGGGCACCAGGAGGGCTGGACCATGTGCGCGTGCGCCATCAACAGCCTCCTGGTGAGCAAGATGAAGGACATCGCGTGCCAGCATCGGGGCCCCTGCCAGACGTCCAACGGCACCGAGATCAGCATGGGGGGTCTGACGGCGGACACCAACTACAGTGTCTGCGTCCGCTACCAGTGTCCCGGAGGAGGCGTGGGCCCGGTCACCTGTCAGCACATGCGCACGGGTAAGAACCTCTCCCTGACGGTGTATACCCGAGTGACTTCTTTTTGGGAACCAAGGCGTTGCCCGACGCATTGATACGAGCCCAAATTATTTCGGCGAAGTGCCCAATCTGTGCTCGATCGATATGATGCCAGTGCACGGGCTTTACTTGCTTTATGCGGTGTTCGCATCAGTGCGCACTATGTGCAGTTGGAGGTGAATTCTAGAGTAATTTTATCCCGTGAATCTGAATATCACGTTCGTTTTCCCCGAAGATGTAACCAAACGCAAGAAAACACGAAAAACCACCGACCAGTCGTTACGTCATAAAAGGATCTTTGGGCCACCAAGCGTGTGTCGCTCGTGTGGGCACAGTGTGCAATGGCAAGCTTGCCAGGTATATTCCCCCACACTAACACCAATTACGACGTATTTTTTTTTTTTTTTACGCTTTGAAAATAACAAGAGTGAGCGTGCATAGCTTCGATAGGTACTCAAGATGTGCGAGAGATGAGATTTCAAAAACTCCTTTTATGACGTACCGCTCCGGGAAGGAGGGTCTTCAGTGGTACTTTGAAAATCAGTTCCTGCAGCCTCCGCGCACTAAATCGAAAAATAATCTCGATATTCGTGATCCTAGAGGTCAAATGAAGACGATTTAAGTGGTTTTACTCAAATACGGAACCGCTTCAGTTTCCCTCTAATACCCCTGTTACACGGGCACACTTAACGGCGGTTAACCCAGCTTAACTGCTGTTGCGCGGCACCACGGATACCGCATGCACTATAGACGCTTTAAACACGCGCCAGATTGAGCCGCCATTGCCGACCTTCACTTGTCTTACCAAGATGCCGAGCCACCGAAGCGGCCGTTGACGGGCCTCCACAAAAGCATACGCTATAGGGAGAAAGACGCAGTAACACCTAAAGTGGCAATGACCTGTCCTGCTGTGACAATGAGCAAGTGAAGTCAAAGGTATAGACGCTTTAAACACGCGCCAAATTACAGCCGCCATTGCTGACCTTCTCTTGTCTTACCGAGATGCCGAGCAACTGAAACGGTAGTTGACGATCCTGTACGAAGGCCGATGCTTTAGATAAGGACACAGTTGAATCTAATATAGCAATAACCTGGCCTGCTATGGTAATGACGAAGTGAAATAAACGGAATAATAGGAAACAAAAACTGAAGGTCAGTTATGGCGGCGTCCATGCACAGCTGCTGCAGAGCGTCTATAAGAGGAAACAAAAACTGAAGGTCGGTTATGGCGGCGCCCATGCACAGCTGCCAGAAAGCGTCTATACTCTCGGACAGGTATTCCATAAGAAGTGAAGAGCGCGCGTGCGCTGCTTCGATACATGCTCGTGATGCTCAAGCGCACGTTCGCCCATAGCTTTCACTGCATAGCCGCAGAATGTTGTCGGCAAGTATTGTGCGCTAACTGTGGCTTAGCGGAACTGCAGTTAAGCGTGCCCGTGTAACAAGGGTATAAGATCGTCGCCGTCACCGCCATGTTCTGGAACTGGACCGGGAACGGAAACAAAATATTTTAGCCGACAGTCGAGCAGACGGGAATAAAATCGCGGTATCCCGCTGGCTAAAAACACTGTCTTGGTGGCAACGTGAGCTGGACAAGAATTACGAAAATAAACCCTGGAGAAAGGGAACAAGGGGGACAAAAAACAGACACAAATCACCCAACACAACTAAGTGACTGGTGCGCGACCGAAAAAATACGCTTGGTCCTGGTATCGAACCATGGGGACCTTTCCAAATCCAGTGGAGCGCTTTACCAACTGAGCTAACCAGGAGTTAGACGTGAGTAGAGCGAACGGGTTTTATCAGCTGCCAACAGTCTAACACCAACAAGGGTGAACGGCTTGCATTTTGTTCCGCCATGGTGGGCACTACGATAGTGCTATGCTTAAACTCTCTACTGACTTAATTCCGCATATGAATTTGTCGTGTAAAAGATTTTGAATATAGAAACAACAGGGCCGGGAATATTGATTGACGCGTGTAATAATACCATATAGCACGAAAATGGAGGGCAGCGCTTGTCATCCAGGGTCTACCAACGTCTTATGCACTTCTTTCTAGTTGTGATTTTGGTGAAGCGGTTGCGATTCGCAATTTTTGTTTGCACCATCTTGTTGTAAGTACCAGAGCTGATACATATGGAGTTATTGACCCATGTGTATGCCCGATTAAGTTTAGTTGAATGGGATTAGTATGACGGGCTACCCTTAACCCCGTGTCAGTGAGCTGTGACTGTGCCCGTGTGGGATGCTAGTGAGCCTTGTGCCCGATGCAGGAGCGGAGCCCGGGGGCATCGCGAACGTCACAGTGGGTGGCGTGTCAAGCACGGAGGCGAACGTGAGCTGGGCCGCGTCGGGGACTCTGACCGACTTCCGGGTCACCCTGTGGCGGATCCAGAAGCACCGGGAGAAGAGCCACGTCCCGGTCACCACCCTGCTGAGCAGCGTGCCCCGCTGCCGCTTCAGCCACCTCGCCCCCTGGACGCCCTACCGGGTAGAGGTGCTCAGCTCCACCGAGGGCGGCCCCGTCGGCGGCTCAGCGGTCTTCAAGACGCCGGCCACGGGTAACCGGCCGTTACGTCTCAGCATCTTTGCGACAAGTTACTGAGGAGTTTCCAACTCATATTTCACCTACCTCATATTTCACTTAAGCACTAACTCGTACCTCACAGGGGTAAGTGCTAACTCATGTTTTAAGGGGCACTTTTTGCGAGGGTCTTGCCCGGGTTCTCCGTAGCGTATACCCGCCTCACTTAAAACCTCGCACCATTTTGATTTTCTATTCGTAAATTCCTTTTTAACTTTTGGAGATAAAAAAATCGAATATTACTTTAAGCTCTTTCTTTAATGAGAGTGAGTTCTTCATCGCCCAGTTGCCTTCCTAGCGCGCCAGGGGGCGATACTGCTTGAGGCGAAACCGTTCTTCACAAGCTGGAGGAGTTCTTGGGGCATCGAAGAACCTTTCAACCACGGATTTTCTTTTAGAGTATAGACGCGGAAGACGACGAACTGCTTCCTGTTAAAAAAAGACAGATGCGTCTTGAATAAGTGGATGCAACACAAAGAACGCGGAATCCCAAACCATGCAGTTGTATGAGGAGCGGCCAGAGAACGGCATTGATGGATATCGAAGACTCCGTCGGGTGCCTCGAACGGGTGCCTCGGATGTGTTTGTGTTTGTCTTTCAAGTAGCTTCAAATGCGCTAGTGCAGGAGGCCCACGTCTCGAGTGGCCTTTGGAGGAAAATGGCGGCATAGCACTGAAATGAGCGGACCTTGGAAGCGAATGGCGGCGGAGCACCCGATCGTGGCACGTGTCTTGTGCGTTTCCTGAACAATGGTCGGCGGTACTTGTAAGCGCGAATTTTATCGAGGGATTTTAGGACGACCTGCGCAACAGCGCAATCCCCAACAAATTAGGTGATCCCGATGCCACCGCCAATATGGTGGTGGTATGGTGGTGTGCCACCATACCGCCGGTATCCCACTGAGTAAAGTCTCTAAAGTTGCCAGACACTTGAGCACAGTACCACCAACTACGAAGAGATTCCGCGCCAGGGCGGGGACGGTTTGTGGAGCCCGAGCAAAAGTTTCACCATCCTCCTGGTATATGTCTACGTCAACGCGGCTAAGCGCAAAGGAGTGGTGTTTATACCACGTGACGCGCATCCCGGGGAGCAAAGTGAGCGATTTCTCCCCCGTGTGAATTCACCGAGGGACACCGAAGTCACTTTCGAGTTTTCAGTTGGTGAGGGGTAGACATGTCGATGGTATACCTTTGACCTTTCCAAGGTTGGTGGTGCAGTTATCCGGAAAGGAAAACAGATGATGATGATGATGACAATAATAATAATACTAATAATCTTTATTGGCTCCACTGATCTCTATTCAACGTTCTCTCTATTGTAGTAGGCTAGATCGCGAATCGGGAGCCTGTCGGTGGTACCACCGGCGGCCGTTGCTTGACACCAGGCAATACACGCAAGTCAATGGGAGAAACACACAAGAGTAGGAAGATCGAAGCTTCCACGCGGTGCTCGAAGGCGAGAATTTTAGGATTTGCTGTGATCATTTTATGGGGTGTTTGGAGATCGAATCGGCATTTGTCAAACGTTCGAACGCTGACTAAAACAATCAAATGTGCCAGAGCACCAACGAGGTAGAGGGCCTTAGAGCGATAAACTGGCAGCTGAAAGCGACCCCTAATCGGCCGCCGCCATGTTGCACATTTTTTACCACTAGACACGTAAGCCTATAGTTTTGCGTCTAGATTTTAACGAAGTACTGCGCACAAACAATTGTTTACTGACCTTTAATAACCGTACCGATGAGACGCGGGAGCGAATTCCACGTAGCAAAGCCTTCGAGCTTGTCGTCTGCTAAACCCAACTCATCGAAACCGTCACCGACTCCGCGGTAAATCTAAGTAACTCGTCTCATTGAGCTGCACTACATTTTTCGCCCAGCGAAGTCACTCTTGACCATAGAACATACATTTATAAGACCTGTGAGGGCTGTCAGGTTTAATGTTTTTGCACACGCTATTTGACAGACTTTCCGAAGAGCAGCCAAACATTTTCACTGCCGACAGCAGTTTAGAAACGGGGGAAACGTCACTTTTTCCTCAATCAATGTTTATTTAATGAGATAAAGTTTTCCCCATAGAGTCCCATGAATTACCTGGTGTCAGGGGATGGCTGCGGGTGGTGACACCTGACCCCAGTAAGACAAGCCTCGATCCTCGATTCAGCCAGCTACAATAGAGCTCAGATCAGTGATTGGCTCAGGAGAGCCGCGGCAACGCGGAAAGGCAACAGCCCGTACCATAGAGGCCCGCGGTGCCACGTCTTCTGATTCCGTGATGATTAATTATGCAAGATGAAATTAATGGTGATCATGAGATTATATGGGCAAGAAGAGGACGACGGAGTCTTTTTAACATCGCAAGCACCGTTGCTCGAAAGTTCGGGAAAGGTTCAAGCGAGTCGGCCAGCGAGTTGAGGTGACCTCCTGCGGGCTGTTAAATAAACGTGATGGGAAAGCCCTGGCGGTCTGGTGGTGTCATCGCTCACTTCAGTGAAGGTAGCGGGCTTTTTGAGATGGCACGGTCTTGGTACACGGCTGCCACCTCCAGGGCATTCGCGTCCAGGGCTTAAACATAGCGCCGCATTTGATACAGGTTCAGTTAATGTAGGAGGCGACATCCCATGAAAAATCTTTGGCAGTACATAGTCAAGGTGAATGTCCGTGCTAACCCATGCTCTCCGCTGCCGAAGAACGTACCACAAAAAATTGCTGAACTGTGCTGTCGCATTGAGTAAATCGATTGGCGAGGGATCAGAAATTGGATGCAAATATTGTTCCTCTTTCTATATTGATGCTAGAAAGCAGTTCTTTTTTTTGTGTGTGTGTGAAATGCGTATTTCTCTAAAATGTTTTGACAAAAAGTTATGTTGGCTACTTGACACCCTAATTGCATAAAGTGCGAAATCATCTTTAGTGTCCCTCTCAAATACATGGCACTCTCATCCAACCGTCCGACGAGAACACCTCAGTGCATTCAGCTGACGTTGTACAAAGGAGTGGCAGATCTTATGAAAGAGCTGTTCATGTTCAGATACGCGGTTCAGGCGCTTAGAGAAGAAAGTTATTGAACCAAATGCAAGCACCGGAGAGACGGCATCCCGTTCGTCGATGTTCGCTACGAGACCCAGAGCAGTGGGACCTCATCTGTTTTAAAGCCTGAATTCCTTTTAAATGTTAATGACCCCCCCCCCCCCCCCCCTTCCCCAATCTCAAAACTTTTCCTTCCGACCGTTCGTCCGCGCATTTTCCACACAATTTAATGGGAAATTGGCGTCGCGTGAGCTCTCTACTAAGTCAGTTTCCCCGCATCTTGGTTCACCTTCACTCCTCCCCGAAACAACTGTTTAATGTCTTCTAAAATATTTTAAACGATCGCTCCCTATACTGCATCTATGCAATATATAGGACTTTGGAGATAAAGGTGACTGTCAATTTTATTCGCAGCCCCGACCGAGCCTCGCCAGCTGGCACTGGTGAACGCGACCAGCACGAGCCTGAGCCTCAAGTGGGAGCGGCCGGAAGACGCCCGCGGCCCACTGTCCGGCTACACGGTGTTCTACGGCCCGTCCCAGGACAACCGCAAGCGCAGCTCCCTGGCGACTAACGGCACCGCGGTGACGCTGGACGGGCTGACGGCCAACACAGAGTTCGAGGTGTACGTAAAGGCCTTCAACGAGCTCGCCGACGGCACCGAGGTGGCCAGCCAGCCCGTGCGCATCCTGGCCAGGACCGACATCGGGGGTGAGCAGGGTCGCCCCTCACAGAGCGTTCCTGGAACGCGTTTTCGTCTGTTTACCGAAGCTCATAGAGTCACGCACGTGTCGTGCTGTCGGCGGCTGGCGGTGTCGCGGCAGTGCTGGTGGCAGAACGCCGAAAGCTGCCGAGTTGCTCTTGGACAAATCTGCTTTCGTATAGTCCCCACCGCTCCCCAAAACAAACATGCAACAGAAACCCTAGCGGTATCGTCAACTGGCGCGAGCGTGCACGTGACCCTCCCTTCCTTTCTCGGCTTCTGATTGGTCTACCGCAAAGTAACGCTTTGGAAATTTGAGGGCCTTAACGATGACGTCATGTGCTGACCTCGCGGGTTAATTAATTCAGAGTTCAGGGGAAGCTCCTCCCACCTCTTTCCACTTTAGCAGAGCGAACGCTGGAGAGGAGACGACCTCCTCTCCACCGTTCGCTCTTGCTAAAGTGAGCATTGCTCGGGGTTACGTTGGCCGCGGCTGCTTTAGACTGGTGCTTGGGGGTCTTTGTTTTTTTTACGCTTCCCGGAATGGCATCTTGACGCAGCAAAATGGAATATATGCGGAAGCCAAAGAGGAGAGTGCATCGATGTACCAACTCGGGCTCTCCGGGTTGAGTGATCTCGTTCACTTGAAAGTGGGTCCCCTCATGAAAGTGAAGGCAATAGGACCGGCGACATACACTGGCAATAAGTTGTGTGGGTAGGACAGTATCTATTTTGGGTTTATTAGGGGCGAAGCTCCTTAGGGTCTAGCCTTGTCCGTCCGTCCGTCCGTCCGGCCGGCCGGCGTCCGTGCTCACATAAAAAGAAAAGAAAAGTTTGCGCAGTCGACCGGATTCGAACCTGTGCGGGGAGACCCCAATGGATTTCTAGTGCATCGCCTTAACCACTCGACCACTACTCCGGGACGAGTAGGGGGCTCTGAGATGTGGTAGTAACTCAAGAGCTGGGGTTTCTGTCGTGGATGAAACGTTGCATGTAGCCGCTCAACATCTATACAGGAGAGGCTGCGGTCAAATGCGTATATAATCGCGTTAAACTTTGCATGCATTGGCTCAACGTTTATGGACGAGAGGGCGCTGCGGTCAAATGCTCAAATGCGTATATAACCACGTTCTATACCAGACATTCTCTTTCTGACATGGACCGTTGACTTAAGCGGTGGAGATGCGGTCCCACGACTTCTGGCGGATCCAAGCTGATCCGCTAAAAGAACCACTGGCTCTGAATTTCACCGACCATAAAACAGTAATAATGAAGTCGAAACGCAACCCGGAACTCGCACTACCTATGAGCAATAAGAAAAAAATTCAGCACCATCAGCGCTGCCTATAAACAGTAAAATCAGTGTCATTAGCACCACCGGAGCTTCGCCCTAATCAACATCATTCACCACGTGGAGATGCGGTCATTTTTTAAAGGTATCTTTCACGCTATGGTGCTTGCTTTTGCACACCCAAGCAAAATCTTTGATCGTCATTTCAAGCGGGTAAACACGGGCTGCGTGACGAAACTTTGTTCAGTGTTGCCCCAGCAGCAGCTCATGGTACCACACTTAATACCGGCCTTTGGAAGGGGCATTGACATAATATTATACGTAGGTTACAATTAGTCATAAAGAACGATTTAACGCATCTGTTTCGGTTCTAATTTTGACCGGGGCGGCTCTTGACCCTTAGTGTCTCCAAAAGACTGATTGCCACATTTACAACCATCGATTCTGCGCCATCGGCCGTCTTAGAGCGCTTTGGCCAAATCGGTTGGAGACAGATTTACACATTCTAATGACTGTACGTGCTTGAACAAGCACTTTCTGCTCAGTAGAACCCGTTCCAGCTTTGCAGAGCCCATCAAGCGTTTGAAAGTGATGACTCGTTCATATTCTCCTCCATCCACTTCCGGTTACATAGTCCCATTTCTCAGGCGTTTCGAGCAACACTCTCAAGAAAAAAGGGTGTAAAAGGGTGTATCGTTCCACCATTTGTCCCCTATAATACACCCCAAAATTCCGATTGGACGTACAGCGCCCTACAGTCGAACAGACGGCCCGAAATTTTACGAGTTGCTTGATAGCCGTCTGGTACAACTTTTTAAATAGCTAAAGAGCATCAAAGACCATATAAAGAAAACACCGAGTTTTTACAATAGGGCCAAGAAAACCCCGAATATTTTTTTTGTAGTCAGTAAAACGTACATTAGCTATTTTAATAAGTTGTACCACATGGCTATCAAGCCGCACGTAAAATTTGGGGCCGTCTGTTCAACTGTAGGGCGTTGTACGTCGAATTGAAGTTTTGCGGTGTATAATATGGGACAAAGGGTGTAACAATACACCATTTTACACCCTTTGTCCTTGGAAGTGAAGGAACACAACGTGTCCCGAAGCACCCACAAAGGATCCAACACCTGAAAGTGTTTGCAGACGCTACAATTCTTCGTACCTATGTATCAATGGCAGGCATCCGCGGATGTTTCAAAGAAGTCCATTTTGTCAAACCAAATGCTGAAATATGAAGGTTATACCCCCTTCACAGCTTAAAGGTAAAATATGCAATCGGCGAACCAGCCCGCGCTCCTGGGTCGCGAGCAGATACCACGCGCGGAGAAGCATCTCCAACTTATTCGCCGCCAAGCGTAGAAGTCCCCTAAAGCTGAGGTCACATTGCTCATACATCATACAGAGGAGTCTGCAAACTGGTTCGAATGCCGCGCGCCAAGTTTTCTCCTTGAACTCATTACCATGCGACATTGGAAGCACAGATCTCGCGGTGACTCGCGTTCGAATCTGTATGCAGATTGTCTGTTCTAAGATGTATAAAGCCTGGTTCAGACCGTTGCGTTTGACTGCGTTGCGGCCGCGAGAAACCAGGACATCCCTGCTGCTTATATCGCGTGCCAAGATGATCCCTTGAATTGGATTCCACGCTTCATACGAAGCACAGATGTGCCGGTGACTCGCTTTCGGTTCTCGACGCAACGCAGTCAAACGCACTCAAACGCAAGTGTCTGAACCGGCCTAAAGATATAAGCAGCAGGGATGTCCTGGTTTCCCGCTGCCGCAACGCAGTCAAACGCAGTCAACCGCAACTGTCTGAACCAGGCTTTAAGAAGTGTGACCCCGGCATAAAGGTACCTTCACGATCGTGTGGTCGGCCGCTTGAAAACCGCGGGGGATCTTCAGCGTATGTCCCACCCTCGCAGCGCCCAGCAAGGTGCAGCAGCTGAGGCTGGTGAGCACGAGCAAGAACTCTGTGGTGGTCGAGTGGAGCGCTCCGCTCAAGCTCAACGGGCCGCTGGACGGCTACCTGGTGTACCGGTGCAACCGCAGCGCTCAGCTGGGAGCCGTTACCAACCACTCCGAGTGCCACACGCTGCACCCGGGCAAGGCGACGCGGGTGAGCGTCGCGGGCCTGGACCCGGAGTCCGGCTACACCCTGGCCGTGTCCGCCTACAACCTGAGGGCCGACCGTCATACCAGGTTCGAGGGCGCCCTTGAGACCATCGACGTGGAAACGCTGCCCGAAGGTGGGCGCTACCCTTACCTGTCGCCTGAAGGTGGACAGCAGCCAATGCGGAGCGCACGCAAGTTCGGCTGCTATTTTTGCAGGGGATTCAGACAGAACCAATCAGAGAGAACTCTGATTGGTTCTGTCTGAATGAAGGATAGTGGGTAGACCTCAAAGCAGCTTGACTTGAGGTCTAACTACTATCCTATCATCAGAGCCAATCAGAACACGGTGTTCTGACGTCACTGCAACTCCTGCGCAAGAAGCAGACGATTTGCTCTCCGCATATTACCTTGTGCTGTACAGACTGCCAATACCACCTTGTGTTGTACCGACTGCGCAACACAATGTGGTATTGGCTGCTGTGTGTTTTTGCAGACTGTCTTTGCGGGCTTATAAAGCGCGAACGTAGTTCTCCTTCGAAATCGTATCTACTGGTTCAAGCAATAAATTAGATGATTGGGAAATGAATAAAGTATTTTGGACAGCGCGGTAAAACATTTTTTTTAATGAATGGGGGGAAAAAATGAATTGACGGCGATGTGCAAAGTCCTCTGATGCATATTTAGGAAACAATCGTTTAAATTGGATAACATTAAACAGTCGTTTTGGGAAGTGATTAACAGATTTTTATTATTTGACGTCTCACGACCTGACGTTACGCAACGCGGTCACGTGAAGTTACCAAGTTGTGGTGTCACGTAATACTATAACATGACGTGTTTAAGATCCTTTTATACGTTTTATTTTATTTATTTGTCTCATTAAGTGCTACGCTAGATTTCATAGGTTTGTAAAGTCGAACATGGACAGCACCCCATCTTAGAAGCAACTGCAAGGTGGTTTATGTTGATAACGGCAAGATCTGCTCGTAGCCTCAAGAAATAGTCCTTACAGGAGTTCATTGTCAGAAAAAGAACCAACGCTACTAGCGTTGGATAGGTCTTTTGATGACACATGACGTTGCAAATCGTCAACACTCCGCGAGAATTTCTTTTGCTGTGTGTCTTAAGCTGAAAACGAGTAGACACATTTGTGTAATAACATAACTTCATATATTTTCAGCTGAACTGCAATTCTAACGTAACCTTTTTTTTATTTATTTATTTTTTTTTTTGGGAAGGGGGGGTGTTGAAAGAGAGGCCCTAGTGCAAAAGGTTAAGAAGCCTGAGCAACAACGGCATCTTCCCGATAACGTAGGAATCTATACATAAGCGAGAAAGCAACAAAACTCTTTGAGAGTAAGCTAAGCCAGAGTGCTCTGGGGTCTCAGCGCCCTCTGCCCTGTCCGACCTGGACGTGCGCATCCTGAGCCCCGACTCCGTGGAGGTGGCCTGGGAGGCCCCCGGGGCCGGGGTGTCCGGCTACGTGGTGGCCTGGTGCCAGGACCGACGCTGCCTCGAGGAGAGCGTGCAGCAGGCCAGGGTCGTCATCCACGGCCTCCACTCGGACTCTGAGTACAACGTGAGCGTCGTGCCCTTCCGGACCGACGGCCGAGGGAACCGGGTGCTCGGCCCGCTCACCACCAAGCAGGTCACCGTCAAGGAGCCCGTCGGTGAGCAGCGCAGCACGACGACGATACGGGAAGTTCTAGGATAGAACGCGTTGGGACCACCCACTACCTCTCGCGCGCGTCTGTTGTACATGCGATTCTAAAACACACTGCCGTGAGCTCATGCTGAGACTCCGAAGCATGCCCTCAAGCGCGCCCGGGGCCGTATCGTGCTTGTAGTAACGGAGTAATGCGCAGTAGCGGAGGTGCCGCTATACTGCGCATACGTGCAGTTTGCAATTGTCTGCAAATCTTGTGGCGGTTTGCGGTGAACTTTGCGGGTCGGAGGAAACCATCCACGAAAACTCCTTAATTTTCAGTTCCTCCGACGAGCCCCTATACCAGGCGGCGACGCGCGCGGCCCTATCATATGAAAAATTCTAGTCCAACTGAAAGTGAAGTACAGTTCAACTAGGTTGCCCCAGGACTGAAATTTAAGTCCATCTGAAACGTCCCAGCCGAGCCCGTTTAGACGAACCTCACAAATTGAAACGTGTAGCCAAAACTGGGTATTATTGCCATATTGAGTCCTCGGCCGAAATGAGATCACACCAAGCTCCGACCCAAGAGCAAGCATTCGCGTCGCTGAGTCGTGGTGGCCGCTTTGTGCAGATTCGGCGGCCGCCTCGGAGTACCTGATGGGCACGATCGTCTGCTCGGTCCTCATCATGCTCATGGCGGGCCTCGTGTTCTTCGTGTGCCGAAAGAAGAAGGGAACGTAAGTATACGCCGTCTGTCGCTCACGCAGAATGCTAAGGGTGTTGCGATTCCACAGCCTCTAGTTACACTTAGTTACACTGTGCAACTCTAGTATGCCTTAGGGTGCCTTCATGTGCGCTTTGCTTACGGTGGAGACATCTCTCCATTTTGTTGCCACTTTTACATTTATTTTTTCTTCAGAAGCGCGTGAAAGAGCGTGTTCCTGCACGCGTCTGTGGCACTGGCTGTGCTATGGCGACATTTTGTTTTCGTCGATTTCTTTGTATTTTCCCCGTGAGCGCGTGCTGTCGGCATTGGGTACTACAAAGGGTGGCATCACTCTAAACAGAAGGTCATTGAGGCACCCTAGTATGCCTAGATTTGATAGAGGTTCTATATACTACAAGATCTACGCCACGTGGCTCATGGAGAGCGTGACCCACATCGGGCAAAATATATGGTGCGAGGAACCTCATTTTACGAGTGTGTGCGGTTGTGTGCAGTGTGGTTGCATCGCACTTCGTAAGATCACGCCCGCGTGCCCCCAATAATACTTCATTATAATCTTGAAATGCACTCAACATACCAGTTTAATGGATGTACAATTTAGGAAAGTAATGCATCACCCATTATGCTCGTTCATATGCCAAGAATACGTAGCTTTCCATACCCCATATAATCTCCCCGAGTAACTATAGAAATTTTTAAGTACAATGTTTCACTTTTTGACGTGGGCGTCTGTTTTATCATTGACATTCCTTGGTGAAGTGCCCAAGGAGTGTCATAGCGAGAGTTATAACAATAATTCTATTCGGGTTGTAAAAATGTTAACTTTAAAGCCAGGATTATCACGGTGTATAAGCGATGCGCAAGTTCGTCTGCATCTTTGGCAGGGGTTGTGGTGACGTCAGAACACCGTGTTCTGATTGGCTCTGATTGAAGGATAGTGGGCAGATCTCAAAGCAAGCTGCCTTGAGGTTTACCCACTATCCTTCAATAAGAGCAAATCAGAGCTCGGCGTTGTGACGTCACCACAACCCTTGCAAGAGATGCAGACGAACTTGCGGTCCGCATAAAGACAGCATTCAGCGATGCCTGAATCCGAGGACACAGCCGTGGTGTCTGCACTTTAACGCCGGTTTGACCTTTGTTTTTAGAGCGCAGCTGTTAGGCGCCCGTTTCCGGCTTGAGCGGCGTCGGTGTAACCGCGCGGTGCATTATGGGACGCGTGACGTCACTGATGACGTCATCAGGGACATCATCGGCATCGCCATCGTCCCTGATGACGTCATCGGCATCGCAACTGATGACGTCATCAGTGACGTCACTGATGACGTCACCTGCATTAGCATCGTCACTGATGACAGTTACTGATGACGTCCCTAGTGACGATGACGTCAACAGTGACGTCACTGATGACGTCATCTTCACGTGACCTCATAGGGGTCACGTGACTCGGTGAAGTCACGTGACCTCGGTGACGTCACATGACCCCCGTGAGGTCACGTGACCCTCGTGAGGTCACGTGACCCTCGTGAGGTCACGTGACCCTCGTGAGGCGACGGCGACGCCGGTCGGAGGGAGGAGTAGGAGACAGGATGAGGACGTGAGGAGGAGCGAGGAGTGATGTACCTTCCCCTCAGTACCCTTCCCGCCTCCTCCTCAAGAGCTGCGCTCCAATTCGGCGTTACAGGGAGTTGTAAACGGCTTTCACTTTTTTTCTCCATTCACAGGGGTCCCCAGTTGTACAAAAGAATGAGTTCCCTGGAAAATGACGATGATGACATTGGTAAGGTACCATATGGAAGTAACTGTCATTCTGTCTACATAGGCCCCTTCTCTTCCAGTGTTCATGAAGACCGTCCCGAGCAGCCGCCCTGAACGCACGCTCTGATAAGGCGACACTCTTCGAAACAAGCCGTCAATTCTCACTTAGTGAACAAGACAAACACACGTGCGCATTTTCAGCGAAACGACGCAGTGGGATAGTTACAAGAGGGGAAGCATGTTGTGCAGCTAAAAGACGGTAATATGTTTGAGTGTCTATGGTACAATCTAATTTGCTATTTGGAAAAGATGTTGTACAGATAAAAGACGATAATGTTTCTGAGTATTTATGTTTATGATCAAATTTGGTAATCGGAATACGCGAACACGGAGCGCGTTTTACCGGTAGTAATCACACCTCTACTCGCGACGGTGGAGAAAAACTAGGATCTCGGATGTCAGTTCGCCTCCCCCGTCAATAAAACAAAAACCCGCAGCCGCCGGCTGTTGTGACGTCGTCGGATTAATGACGTTGGGTCACGTGTGAGCCCTGTCAGAAGCCTCGGGAAATGCGGGAGCGCTTGAAGTGACTTCTGGCCACCCCGGGGACCCACAGGAACACAATGGCACCGGAGAAGACGCTGATCAGGTAGTACAGACCGTTGTAGGAGCCACGGCCGTCCTTGAAATAGCCTGCGGAAAGGGCGTTTTCGCACTCCAAGGACAACACTGGGATATGATGCTGACGCGTTCACGGGTGTACCACAGTGATGCCACCTATGCGATTGGTGGCTGATTACCAGAGTGACGCCCGAGTGCCTCGATCCTAAGCCAACGCTTCTTCATCTGATACACTTGATGGAGTTTGTTGAAGCGACATTAATAAAAACGTACGCATATTGTGTTATCGTGTACCTTTACGAGTTCTGCGAGAGCTGAGGTGGCAGCTTCCCCCGATCGTAACAGCATTTCCTAAACTGTCACGTGATTTCTCCATGCTCCGTACATATTATGAGCTGCTGGTAGTACTACTCGGGCGAAATAAAGGGAGCATGCGAGCTTACCGATGAGCGTGGGTCGAACCAGCGTTCCGATGGCCATGCTGAGCCTGTGGATACCGTACGTCATCGGCAGATGTCGTTTGCCGAGGTGGTCAGACAGCAGGCAGGGCAGCGAGACGATGGGCCCGCCATTGTTGAGCCCGAACACGAAGGCCACCAGCCCGAACTGGAGTAGCGAATCCACGTGGGCCAGGAGCGCGTAGCAGGCGGCCAGCGCGGCGAAGTTGACCACCAGCAGCGTCTCGCAGTCCACATAGCCGAGGTCCGCCAGGCAGCCGGTGCCCAGGCGGCTGATGAGGTCACCGGCCGCCATGACGGACACGAAGAGGGAGGCCTGTTGGTTCGTCACGCCGAGCACGCCTTGCACGTGGTCCACGATGGTGATGAGGTAGCTGCTGAACACGAAGCTGTACACGATGCCCGTGAGCGTGAGCAAATAGAAGACGGGTTTCCAGAGGAAGGATGCGGGTCCTTGTCTCTAGAGACGCGCGCAACGAAAAAAAAAAGACCGACATTATATTTTTTCTCACTTTAAGCCTCACCGCAGCCGACGATCCGGTCAATCAATCAGCGCTAAATATGCATCATCACGGCTTTTCGTGGGTTCACTGTTACCGGCTAAACCAATCATGCAAGGTAAAACGCAGGATCGATAGAAACCAATCACTGTGGGTCAAAAGGTTTCTAGCAAAGGCACAAAAGACGCGCTGTGGCACTTTTAGCACTGCCTGACTGGCTCGATCACAGACGCTCGATGGCTCCGTATATACTAGCAGACGATGAAACGACGAGCGTGGATATTAGGGATGCCGCGAACTTTTTTCGAATCGAAGTTTCGATGATCGAATCAAGCGGTTCGAAAGGTTCGAAAGATTTCGATTTTCGAATTGTTTATATCGTAAAATTCGACGGAGGTCGAATTTTCGAACTTGTTAAGCTAAGAAGTTCGACGCTTTTCGAACCGTCGAACTTATTACGCTAAAAAATTCGATCTTTTTCGAACTTTCGAACTTATTGCGCTGCGAGGTTCGATGCTTGTCTAACTTTCGAACTTGACTGACCAAAAAATTCGATGAATTTCGAACTTTCGAACTTATTTATCAAGAGAAATCGAAAAGTTTCGAACTTTCGAATTCTGAAAAGTCATAAGTTCGACGAACTTCGAACTTTTAGGGTAAAAGTTCGACGTTCGTCGAACTTCGAAAGACCGGCGGACGGTTTCATTTGATTTCAAGTAGTGGGGTACATTCGTAATTTTTTTTTTCTCGAACTTTTACACGCGGTGCTGCGTTCCTTACGAAAGACAATGTCGTTTATTTCAATGTTCTGGCATGCTTAGGTTTAAAGAAATAAATCCCCGAAGGGTCGAGGAAGGACGACGGGTTTTTGACGATTATCGTTCGTGCCAGATTTGAAGCACGCTGCAGCCGGAGCTATTTATGGTAGATATGTTATACTTTTTTAAGAATGATCTATGTATAGTTTAGGTAAGTGCCGTCTTAAGATGTGATTATTGTTATTCAACGGGAGTTTCGAAGAAATGTCCAAACATGTATCTGCATGCAATTATGACCTAAACTTGATATTTATTTTCGTCTAAGTTGTTTGAGGTATCGCATTTAAATTAACACCACAGACAGTACATATCATTGCCATCTGCAGAATACAAAAATGATCTATTTATTGTTTTTTCACGTTAAGGAATACATTAACTCATGAGAGAAGATTTCTAGTAGTGTTCAAGTTCAGCACGTCATCAAAAGAAAACTTTTTTTTTTTTTTTTTCGCTTCACGTTCCTGGGAGGTGTTTCTTTTAGCCTGTACACATTTTGGTAAAAGAAACTTGTTTCGAAGTTCTGAGCCTCTGAATAGGCAAGAATAGAACACTTCCGACGAATTCTTGATAGTTTTTTTTTTCTCCTGCTTTTTATTCCCGCATTTATTATTTTTTTTTTTTTGTTGTTACTATCGGCACAGGTGTTTAGGTCGAAAAGACAGCTTTGAACTTCCGAACCACTGAGCATGCGACGAGCAGTGCCTTCTGACAACGAGTTTCTAACAATGACCATCTACACAACCTTTTATGCAGTGAAGAGTGACGTTAGCTATACATATGCATAAATAATTTCAGATTAAAATAAGCTCGACCACGCCCTCTTTCCCCGTATTCTTTTCTTTAACAGTCCGAAATACCTGCAAGGGGAAGAAGAAAGCTTAAGCCCCCCCCCCCCCCCCCCCCCCCCCCCGCTACCCTCTTTCCCCCCGTTTTTCCTCTTCCGACGCCACTTGTATGGTAGAACGCTCCTCGACCTCGAGTTGTGTCGGCTTTTGTGCTTTTTGCGAGGCGCTTCCTCCGTTTCAGAAAATAAACCTCCAGGACAATTATAAACTTCACCGGATCGGATTACTACCAGCGTGCAAGGGGTGGCGAGCTAGTTTGCCAGGTCGCTTCACGGTTTTTCTGAGCCTCAACCTCCTGCTCGCCCCTGGCCGTTTCGAACTGGAAGAGTCTCGTAAAACAGTGTGTTCGTGCAATCACTACTGCGTGATGCAGGTTAAAACCCCCCGGGGCTCGCGGTCACAATTCTGCACTGGCAAATATTCTAGCACGTCCGGGACACTCGTCGTCTCATTTAATTGCCTGACCAACTTCGCAGAATCTAGACATCACACCCTAACTTTTCTAAACTTGATTTTGTGAAAACAAGTGAGTCGTGAAAACGTCATTTGAAACTGAAACTGTGGAAAAACTTGAAAATCGGACTTCGAACTTTGAAAACTTAAATTAGAAAGAAATTCAAAATCTTCGAAGTTTTTTTTTTTCTTTTTAATTTAGCGTTAAAAGAGTATCGAAACCTTCGAACTTTATGCAAAAGGAAATTCGAAATCTTCGAATTGTTCGAACTTCATGTCTATAAAAATTCGAAGCGTTCGAAGGTTTCGAATTTTTTTTACAAAGAATTTCGAAATCTTTGAATTTATCGAACCTGAAGTAAAAAAATATTCGAAATAATCGAATTCGAAATTTTAGAAACCGTGAAAGCTTCGAAATTTTCGAATTCGAAACTCCGCTGTGGACAAAAGTTGCGAATTTTTCGAAATCGAACCTCGGTCGGTACGAAAATATCGAAATTTTTCGAAATCGAACCTCAGTTCGCTTCGCAAATATCGAAACCTTTCGAAATCGAACCTAGGGTGGTTCGCGACATCCCTAGTGGATATGCCTTTCCAGCGGTTGTCACCCAGGCTGCCGTAATTTCCTCTACCGCTTCCCACCTTCAAATATAGGGACCAACCCGGTCTTTCCTCGACCTCCTCCTCCTGTACGGGTCGACGCCGGTCAGGTCACCCTGACCCACTAGCTTAGCAGTTTTCGATCACTTCTTTGGGGCTACGATTTATCTCCGATGTCAGTACCAATGGCAGAACAAAGTGCGCTGTAGTTTCGAAATGCTGCAGCGAGGTAGCAATTCGCTATTTCGGGCTGGGGAAGGCAGGATCCCCGGGCCTAATGTGTACCTCACGAAGATTTCAAACGCGCCTCGCATTGTGCTCTTCTTCTGAGGCAAAACAAAATCTCCTAAGTGTGGACAGCTAAGATCTCAAATGGCAGACAATCGTTTTGAGTCGTTCGATAACATGCAGATCCGCTCGCGGAACTTACTCTGAATGTGTCAGCCGTTCCGCGAAAGAAAAAGAAAGAAAATGCGAGTGCACTTGTAGACCTTTGCAAGCATGGCGTCCAGACTGGTTCCGAATCCGTGCAAGCACGTGCAGAAAATGGCGTGAAACAGCTTTGGTAAGCCTGCAATTGCACGTATACTTAGTCACACGAGGAGGAACATGGCGGTCGCCAGTTACCCTGTTTGCAATCGTCTAAAGGCTAATATTGCGTAACGTGTGTCACAGCGTGAGCAGCCTGGTGCTTTTGTAATTCGCTACTTGTGGCGCCGTTACTTGTTCTTTCTGCACATCCTCCCGAGTACGGATCTGAGGATTTTCACGCCATTTTCCATTTTCGCTTCCGCTATCGGTTCCACTGCCCTGCCTGACAGTGGCGTACCTACTTGTTTTCGAGAAGGGGGGGGGGGGGGGGGGGGCAAACCAGACCCCCCCCCCCCCAGGGCCGGGGGCGGTGCCCTAGGAATCACTGTGGCGCCGCCGGCTAGTGCTTGCCCTGCCCAGTGGCGGCTGTTTCAGGGGGGGGGGGGGGAACATACGCCTTACCCCCCCACTCTCAGAACTGGGGGGGGGGGGGGGGGCAAGCACTCCCCTTGCCCCCCCGGTTGGTACACCCATGGTGCCTGATCTGTCTATACGACGAGCCTCCTCAAGTTGCCGTAACTGAAAGTTGCGTTCTTTGACCAACTACGAACGCCTTAATGCCTAGCCATATACGGCGTGGAAGCTCGTGTTCTCGGATGGCCCTGCGGATGCGCCGGCACAACGGGGAGCCTAGGTCGCGCAAGCTACCGCCAGTTACAAAGGGTATAGGCATTAACATCCATCCATCCATCCATCCGGGCCCGTACGAAAATGTCAGATCGGAGCGGTTCCAGTTCGGATCCGCGCGGTTCTAAACGTGTGGACAGTTCCGATCCGCGCGATTCTGGGTGTAACCAGTCGGATCCAGTGAGACGCAACGCACTGGAATCGCACGGTGATGGGTGGATCCGATCCGCTCCCCTTCTTCTAGTAGGGTCTGCTCCCAGTCAGCGGGCGCGCACACGCGTGGCTGGAGGAGGGGAGGGAGAGGTTGGGGGGGGGGGGGGGGGGGGGGGGGGGAACTTTTACGGTCTCTCGCAGGTCACGTGTTAGGGACAGGCGGATCCGCTACGCAGGCGCCGCGAGCGGCCGTTCTCCGCGTGCGCGCCTGGCTTTGTCTGTTGCAGTCGGCGGCAACGCTTCGAGAGTTTAATTTCTTCTTTGCTCTCGTCGGACTGTCGATCGGCGCTCGCCCGGCGGCGACGTTCGCGCTGCGGGCGCACGGATACTGACGCGCCCATCATTGCCCTGGATGGATACCCACTGACCTCGGCTTTTAATCTTTATATTCGCGACTCCAGCGACCTATAGGGGGCGCCACCACCAAACAAACATGGCGGCTGGGTCCAGGTCGCGTCGGTTCGGCCGGGCCGCCTGAATGGGTGGTGCATTCAATTTAACAGATTTTCTTTTGTTTAATGCCCAATTTTATAGGTATTTCAACTGAGACGGTTAGGTGTAGCCGGTGCGCATAAACTTGCCGAGCATAGTTTTGTTTTGCCGGTGTGTTTTGTTCTTTTCATGTAAAACTTCCGTTTCGGAGACTTCGTTCAAAACCGAAACTATGGGCTCCGGAGAAACAGTAATAGACTCTAATTAGTTTTGATCATCGATACAAAGTGGCGATGGCTACAAAATTGTTCCACCGAGAGTAATTTTTAGCTAACTCGCATGCCTCGACCATGCGACTTATCTGTCCGCGAAATTACGAAAATTAAGCAAGCGCTTCTTGAGCCGAGGAGCATGTTAACCTGCTGGCGCTTCACTAAGCAGCTGATACTCATATTTAAATTCAGGTTTTAGTAGCAATCGAGAAGTCATTTTGACGAATATGCGGATTATGTATTATATTACGTACTATGTCCCACTAAAGCGATATTAGTATATTCTTCGGGTTGAAATATGAACTTAGTTGACTAACTATTAGGTGAACTGCTGAATAAAAGTATATTTGACAGACAGAGAGGTACTACTTAAACTTAGCCAAATGGTTCTAGCCGGTAGAACGGAGCCGAATGCGGACAAACTGAGGAGAGTCTTCATCGGAGATTCAGTCAGACATCTCTGCATTGAACTTGAGTTCGAATCCTGAACGGATAGAATGAGTATTTTTTGTGACCGGTCAACCTGAGCAATCTAGACGTATATTGCTGCTGGCTTCGACAGGGGTTATAATATAAATATGGGAGGCGCGATAGATCCTGATGCCGTGACAGCTTCTAACTTTGGGAGGCGCGTTCCCCACCCTTTCAAAGCAGATAATTTCCCTCATGAATCATATGCAGCGATCAGGTTTTCTGAATCAAGTCATTGCGAAATCAGCCCAACTCTTTCAGTGTGGTCTTTTTCGGAGAAAAGCAGCCAAGATGAATAGTTGGCGTTAGTGGCTAAAACTTGAAGCTAATTGAGCACTACCAAACTCAAGAAAAGCAGATATCGAACCTTCCCATTCGCCTGACTGCAACATCGGTGTTCCCTCCAGTGAAACACTTCGTCTGTCGACCTCAGTCCACTGTTCTACATCCTTATAAAGAAACCACTTATCAGTTACCAAGTAGTCGTCACTTTGAATGTGATTAGAGAGAGACAAGAAATCAAAACGTTTTTCCGTGATTCCTCCCCATCTAAAAAATTGAAAGCACGCGACCGTGTGTTGTGGAGTAAACGGGCTTTCAAGCACGTGATGGAAAGAAACAATCTAAAGAGGCTTCACCACACTAATGAACACTCAGGCAAACTTAAGAAATGTTCGGACCTTCGTCAAATTACATTGCTCGCCCCGCGCCGACATTACGTGTCCGAGAAAGCCACCAGAGACGCGGCGGGGCGCGGAGCGACCTGGACCGACTGGTTCCCGGTTTTCCCGCTTGGCGGCGTCCGTTTTGCTGGAGTCGCGAATAGTGTGAAGCTGCCGACCCATTGCACTTTGGCTCGGCATCTGGATGCGCTTGGCGCTGGTGTGCTCCGTGACGATACTTGGACAACTGGGATACCGCTTGCCCGCCGGAACTTCCCGATGCACTCAACGTTGGATACTGTGCTTGTGCGTGTTGTGCGTGTGTTCCGTGCACCGTGTTTGGTGAAGACGCCTGGACGACCGTGTGCGCCACCATAATTACCGCTGCGCTCACCACTGGACTCTACACAAGTATTTCGCTCGATGCCCTTAGCCGTTACAAGCGAGAGATCGTCGCGATTTCAGACCCAGTCCGCCTGGGTCTGAAATCGCGACGATCTCTCGCTACACAATCAGAAAACTAACCATATCCCTGGGTTTACTGATCTTCCACCTGGGCAGCTGGGCCACCGATGAGGCCATGACGCCGCTCTCGCAGAGTAAGAACTCCGTTGAACATAGCTCGCTGCGGTGCACGGAGCCGTCGATGGAGCCGTCCTCGGCGTCCTCGCCACGAGAGAATCGGCCTCGGCACTGCGGGTAGTCTGCGGACGAGCGGAGCACGATGCCGCCGGCCATGGCGTTGAGCATCAGGGCCCCGATGACGAGCATCGTCCCGCCCAGGCCGTAGCGGTCCAGGAACCCGGCCAGCAGCGGCGGGATCAGGAAGCTACCCACGGAGGCGCCGGCAAAGTTGAGGCCGTTCGCGGACGTTCTGTGCAGCCTGAAGTAGCGGCTGAGGGCCACCACGTTTACGGGCACCGTGATGCCCGACGAAGTTCCTGGAAGCCGACCGGTATCCGCAATAAGCTGCTGCAGGTATTTAGAAGAAGCTTCAAGTTTAAGAAAAAAATCGTAAGGGTGCAGGCGAGCTGGTGAATATTAACCATGTTCAATTAACCTGAGACTGGGGTAGAGAAGAAACATCAAAACGTAGAAGGGACAGAAAATAGAAAATAGACAGAAAATAGACTTCTGTACCCCAGTCTCAGGTTAATTCAACATGGTTCAAGTTCAAAGTGTCTCAAAATATGTATATAGGTTTTCATTTATTTTTTAGCTCAGCCCAACTAGATGCCAAACTTTTAAAACTAACCGTTATCTTATTCAAAGGTTATAACTGATTTTCTGAACATTTCAATGGGAAAATGGCGGCCGTCGTGGTACATGGAGCTCTATGGCGCCAGGTACCGAACACAGAAAAAATGGGTCCCATTCTTTAAAATTGCAATTCTCAGAAAATCAATTGTAACTTTCGATTGAAATAACAGTTAGTTCTGAAACTTTGACATCTCGTTCGGACGGCGAAGAATGAGCATTCGGCAAAATGTAGTCTATTCTCACGGTAAAAAAAAAAAATATATATATATATATTTTTTTTTATTGTGAAAATAGGCACGTTGTACTTGCTATGCCATATGAATCATAAATTACATTACAATATTGTGGTATTGGTGTGTTCTTTGTTTGTTTATGTTTATATATTTATACATATATATCCATTCCCTCGTGTAATACCCCTTGCGGGTCCTGAAGGAAAATAAATATTAATGATTACGAATCGACATATGGTTCGAATTTTCCTGCACAGCGAGTAATGGGACACGAGGCATGAAAGCCAGAAAGGAGATTTTCGCTGTGAAGTTTCAAAGATGAGAGGCGGCTAATATTTATTTATTTTCTTTGGAAAGCTGCGTTTATTGTGAGCACGCGTTCCAAACAATTCCGGTTGCCTCACGATCGAACGCGGCTCACGGATTGGACACGAGCAGTGCGCGAACGATTGCCTTCGTTGGATAAAAGCGATCCGTCGACGAACATTTGGGCTCGTGTTCATGACCGGTTAGTGCCCTGGCGTTGTCCGGGCACAAGGACCTCAAAACAATTATCTTGGCTTTTGATCAATGGTGCTAGAATCAGTTGCGTCACAATTGGGCGGGGCGGGGGGAGGGGGGGTGGTGGGTGCGGTTGACCCGCCACTGCTTAGAATGAAACGACTTGAAAATCTAACTCTTTTTATTCTCTCTGCGTGCAAGAAGTTGGAGTAAAACGAGCAGCGTTCACCCCTTCAACTGGCAGTCTAAACAAGCGGCCACCTGATCTACTGCTGTTTGTATGCCACCATGGGGACCGTGGCGCATCAAATCTAGATTAGACCAATGATACGCGCCCATGTCCACCATGCTACTTCATTTTCTACTTTGTCACAGTCGTCGAATCTAGATTAGAAGCCCTACGGTCACACTTAAGTACACGCAGCCAACATGGCTACGTGCTGCAAAGCAACATGCTGCAATTGAGCACGCGTTCGTTCAACAAGTCACTGCACCGATTGGACACGCGTCACCCCACCTGATTGTCCGGCATCATTGTAGTCAAGCCCAAGATAAGTGCTCACGTAGTGCTCGTGTTGGAACGGAGTGATTGTAGAATGGGGAGATTCTTCGGTAGATTTCGAGCCCTTTCGGAGCGCTCCATTTCGAAATTTCGAAAAGAAAATAGACCTTTTCCGCGATTCAGTCTGACCACTTTGATCACTATCATCACCTTACGCATGACATGTGTCGTACTATGCTTCATCTCACAAACATTTGCAGTGCAGACAAAGGCATGGACACAAGCGCGTGGCTTTGGAAAGTGCCTCCTACGAGTTCTCGTAGAAACAAAAGCATTCTGATGAGCTATATAGGCTCACGCGCCTGTGCCTTTGTCAGACGTTTGTACGATGGAGTATAATGGCGGCCTTCTAGTCACTGATGATGGAAGAAGTGGAGGATGCTCCGGAGCGCAATGCGAGGCCTATACATACGAGACGTTAGTATACGATGCGACGCAGTATTGAGTACAGGAGCTATATAAGCGTTCATATTTAACTCGGCTCCGGTCAATCTGTTGGCGGCACATAATCTGCTATACAGCCCTTCGATGTAGAAAATTGTGTCACGGCTTCAATGGGGATCGCTGCTTCGTGCTTACCGGATGTATATTTGTCACCATCGAGACTGAGACATCCAGCAAGAATTGTAAGGTAGAAACACGCATTCTCGACTGCTATTGTCTAGCGAAAGTAATGGTAGCCGGCGAAATACTGCAGACTGCGGGTCGATTACCGCCATTAGTACGGTGAAAGGTAAGCTGCTATTTGAGCCTCTAGATGGCAGTGAATTTTGAAAAGAGTCTACTGTCGAGACCGGTTATAACGAAGTCGGTTATAACGAAGTCGATTTTAACGAAATAGCGGCTACAGCGACGCGATTACGATTTCCCAATCCGTTTTTGCACTTCGGTATAACCGAAGTCGGTTATAACGAAATATCGGATATAGCGAAGTGATTTCCGATTCCCTTTGACTTCGTTATAACTTGTAACCAGTCTCGACAGTAATGCACGCAAGAAAGAAAGTTTTTGCGTGGTTTAATTGTGTGATAGTGAAAAGCCGCGGCGTTTGGATGTCGATGTGCTTTTTTGTCATGTGAATGCGAATGAATATGACCAGTTTCGAATCTGGTGATCTGACGGTTAAGTGAGGGGGTTCCAAAATGTCAACCTCTGCTTCATTTCACGATCTCGGGGAACGTCTCACCGAAGCCGAGGCCGATGAAGACGAGATAAATGGTGAAATGGTTCCAGAGAAAGCAGGCGACGGCGCTCATAGTTGCCAGCAGCGTGCCCGCCATCGTCAACGTCCTGGTGTCGAAGAAATGGATCAAGATGCCGGTTGTGAACCCTGGGGAAGGGGAAAGCAATGCGCGCGCAGTTTCACTTATTTTCTGCCAACAAAATTTGCGATGGATTTGATCTTTCGCAATTGCATCGGCTTGGACAAAACCGTCACAAGAGAAAGCATGCGCATCTTTCGGCATGAAGGCGCTGGCACCTTACAGTTTTTAATGTCCCTAACTATTCTCATTGTTCCACTGTGCTAACCCCGCTTCTCAAAGGGGTCTGTTTCTCGCGGCCCAATGATGTATTGTTGTGCCCCGAATTGCACGTCAACATCGGGGAAGACTTCCGGTGTGTCTTTCCATCAGCTGCCCAGCGATGAACCTCTAAGGTCCACGTGAGAAAAAGAAGATATAAAAAAATGAACCTTGTTGTCAACAAGTACCAATCTACGGTGTGTGCGTAAGGTCCTCCACTCTTTTGGTGAAACATTTAGCAGACTATTGCTTTAATGGCAATCAGATGAATAAACGAGAGAATGCTCATACCCTGCGATTTTTGTGCGGTGGCATTACCTCGGGGAGAGTCAGCCCTCAGGTCCTCGACCAACTGTGTAACTATGCTTTTTGTAGTGATTATCAGAGTTCGTCGTTCACCACCAGTCACCGAGCATGTATCAGCACCTTAGGCGCATGTCGCATGTCGCATTTCCAGCACAACGTAAGGAATAGGGCATAGCAGGCTCCGCGAGAGTTTCCAAACGATTTACGCGTTCGCTTCTTATTTGACGGCTTCTCCAGTGTGCTTTGACCAGAGTCTATACTGGTGGATAGTTTTCTATGGCACTTCCAAAGAGGGGAAGAGAGCACGCGTGCACAGCTTTGATTAGCCATAGCCTCCTCTAAACTCACAAAGCCTGGCAGTTCGACGACGGAGCCATAGAGTGCCCGGTCGCAGATTTGGAGCCCGAGAATCCGGTATCACAGAGCATCAAAAAGCCATTTCTCGGGGAACCTGGATGTCAGCGCACAGCTTTTGCTGCGGCGAGGACCCGAAACACACTTGTTCGCTCGGGAGAAGTGTGTTTCGGCGTCTCGCCGCAGCGGGGCGCCAGTCACGTGGCTCTCATGTCATCCGTTGTCTGCCGCTCCACCTTTTCCATTTCGGCATCGGGTTCTCGTGGCGATCTGCCAGGCTTTGTCAGTATATAGGCGGCTACGGATGAGCGCTCAAGCGCGCACTCCCGTCCCTTTGGTTGCAGCCGCGCTGTGGCGCAGTTCCCGTTCACCCCGTGGCGCTTAGAGCCTACTATGTGCCAGTGCCGCTTCGGAAACATAGGTGTTATCATGCCTCTCTAAACAGGCCGGAAGACAGCGAGCGCGTATCCAGTCCAGCGGTTGCAGAACGGACGTGTTCAAACATTATTTTCCTTTTTACGACGAGCGAATGGAGCAATGAGATTGTGTCCGTGACTTCTACAGTACTGTTTTGTTAATCATGTTAAATATCGATGTACGAAATTTTGCCATTTCATGTTTACCTTTTTCTTCTTTATATTAGCATTATGACTGAAACTTCTGCATGCTCGTGCAGCCAAATTACCCCGTATTTGTAACTTTAGGAAAACGGTGTAAGCATCTCTTCTCAGAATATTGCCATCTTTAGGCGATGTGAGATAAAATAAATAATTAAAAAAAAAAAAAAAAGCAGTTCTGTGATGTACCGTTGCTCCTGCAGAAATCACCGGGACTTTGAGCCCCTGTTCGGGGAGCCTTAAAGTTCATAGGTGGTTTTTGACGCCCATTTCAATGAACGAGACCGTGGCACAAAGTTGACGCTCCAGACGCAAAAAAGGGGTGTTAGAAACTACCTTAATTTCTCCAGAAAAAAAAAATAGTCAATACCTATCAAATCCGGCTGACAGAAGTTGATTATGTAGGCAATGTTACGACAGACTCGCCCTAAAGCTCTGGAGAGTGTATCCGAGGCTTTATTTAATTGTTTCAAACGGCCTTCCAGCGCCACCTTCAGTTTCTCCTGTAGTCGTTCCCAAAAGATGGTCAAACAAGCTTGTCGCTTTGCGGAGCGTCACCAGTTTTATCTCGCTGCTTTATGAAAAAGTGCGTGTTCCGAGCGCAAAAAGAATATATTTTAATGCGAAAGCAGTAACTGTCCTATGGAGCGAACCGGCTTTATCAGCTTTTGAAGCCGCGCCAAACGGCACGTAAACTCCCCTGTCCCAGTGGAGAGAAGCCTGTGGTCTATAGCAACGATTTGATGGATAGGCTCCCATTGGCTGGCGCGCGTCATAGTTTCAAGGAACGAGGCTCCCATTGGCTGACACACGTCATAGTTTCAAGGAACGCCACCCCATGGAGCTGCGGGCCCCGCGCCGGTAAAAGGAACATGGTGGCGCGCGCTCGGCCGGATCTGCTCCTCTCGACCCCGATGAACATGGCGGCGCCTCAAGCATCTACATCGTCGGCGGCCGCAACCTCGGCAGTAGCGAAACCTGCCCGTCCACGCAAGTACACCGCAGACGACCTAAGGGAGCGGAATGACGCAGCACAACGAGCGAGGAGGCAGGCAGCAAAATCCTACATCGTTGTCAAGTCTCCGAATACACGGCGGGCGGAACGAGCAGCGGCGCAACGCGCTAGGGGACAGAACAAAGCATTTCAAAAGCGTGAGGCGCAAACGGATCGCGATTCAACGCGTTTCAGGCGGCAAGAGGATGAGGCCCGTCGACAACGCGAGGTGGAAGCAATACGTCGCAGGCGGCATGCTTTCGCATTTCCAAATCATAAAAAAACGCTCAAGTGTCCTGTTTTTTTTTTTTTTTTTTTTTTCTTTTTCCCGACGTCTAAATTTTATAAAAACTATACTTCACGCAGCCGGGTAACTACGCGCGAGAATTAACTTTTCTTTGAGCGGTATAACAACTGGCAAGTTCATAAATTTTTGTATCGTTCAGTTACAAAATCGCAGCGTGTTAAGAGTTGTGAGAAGGACAAGCACCTGGGTTTTAGAAGGGGTCTTTCCGGTCATGACTTGGATGTGGAGTCATCGCACCGTGATTGTCACTACTTTTAACTGTTCATGCCGCGAAAAAATAAAAAGATTATGGTGGTGGGAAAGATACGGCGGCTGACGTGAGTCGTGGATGCAAGACGCCGGAGCCGGGCGTACCCTGGACCGAGCTGACGATGTTGTAGAGCTCGAAGGGCCAGGCGGCCTCCTCGCGGGTGACGTTAAAGTCTGCCACGACGCCAACCAGCAGGACGCCCGAGCTCCGGAACACGACGGCCGCCCACACCTGGACCCAGCCGCAGGTCAGGGCCACCAGCCAGGCGTAGCGACTGTCCACCAGCCGGCCACCGCTTTCCGCCTGCATCGCGGAATCCGCCTGCGTCCCTTCACAAGCGGACCTTTTCTGAAGCCCGAAAGCCGTTCCGAGCCCCAAGGCTACGCAAAAGTTCACTAAGAACATCCTGATATATATATAGGAGTAGTTCTAATCTGCTGCGTTGAACGTGGTTGTCAATCTTGCCAGGTATCATTGGCACAGTCCGAAAAATGAAATTTGCCAGGGGTTCTCGCAAGCTGTAAGCAGTGGCGTACCAACTTGGCTTTGAGTGAAAGAGCAAACCAGACTCCCCCCCCCCAGGGCTGGGGACGGTGCCCTTGGTATCCCTGTGGCGCCGCCGGCTAGTGTTTGCCCTGCCCAGTGGCGGCCGTAGGTTATCAACTCGTGCGTCGTCATTCGCCGAAGAAGCTTTTTTACACCTTGGGGATACGGTGAGAACTCCCTTTGAGAACACGTAGAAAGTTTTAGGGGTCCATATCACCTGAGCGAATGATGTTTTAGCGAACAGCGGTCATGCGAGCGAATTGACATTTCAGCGAATAACTGGGGCGTAGGTTACCCTACTCCGCCGCCTGCGGCAGCCGACCATTGGCTAAAGTGTCTTTCGATGAACACTCGGCGTTCGCTAAAACGTCGCTCGACCAGCTGGGTGCCACCCATCAAGGCTTCCATGGCACGCCGAAGTGCTCTGTCTCTGCTCTTCGGCACGCTTGGATACCGATCAAGAATCGACGCCGTGTGGATGTGTTTCGCGAGCGCAATGTGCGTGAAGATGTATGTGCCTCTGGAGCAGCGTTTTACTTTACTAAGACTACTATTTGTAACTTGAAGCACTCGCGTTCCAGAAACCAGCTTGATTTATTGCGAAACGTAAAAAATAAAACGAGGGGGGAGGGGGGGGGGGGGGGTGGCGGCGCGGTTTTTGTTTGCTAGACGCTTATGGCAGTCAATTCAGCAGAACAAAAATCACTATTTCTGTGGAATTCTCCCGCCCCCCCTCCTTCCCCCCAACTGCAAAACACTTCCAAAACACACAAAATAGTGCTTTAATTGTCCAGATAAGTTTCCTTCGCGGTCTTGTTTCCACGGAGCTTTGTTGATAGAAACTCGCCGGAAATGCTAGACGATATAGAGAACTCCGTGGCCGATATATGGTGGCCGATATACGCGCGACACGCCTTCAAAACGTTGCCGTGGCGTCGATTCTTGATCAGCATCCAAGCGTGCCAAGGCACAGAGACGATGCACTTTGTCGTACCAAGGAAGCATTGATCACGTAGCGAGACCGGTGAAACTTGCTTTCGCCGAGTTGTGCCTTTTTCCTGCGGCGCTGCGCTTTCGTAAAAGTTTTCATGCGCTCTCAAAGGAAATTCTCACCGTTTATACGAGGTTTTAAAGAAACTTCTTTGGCGAATGACGAAGAAACAAGTGGAAAACGTGTTTTCAGCTCGCTGCCGTCCAGCCTCTGCAACGCTCCGAAAAGTCGATTTCGTTACTTTCAAGGTGGCTGTCCGGTGGCCGCACTAGCGGAGCGTATCGGAGCGTATCGGAGAGGGGAAGGGCGGTTCAGCAATTGTCAGAGATCAATTCCCCCAACAACTTCAGGACCTGAACTAAAAAGGCGGGTTTCGCAGTGTTTGAGAATATACAACCGCTAGCTGCCGGGCGATCAGTCAAGAACGACCGCCAATCAGAGGAGCATCTTGTCACGCGGCATACAAAACGCGACGGAGAAAACGTTCGTAGAAGCAACCATGGCGTATCAAAATGAGCCAATACAAGCTGTTTACACAATGCCCCCCCCCCCTTTTTTTTTCTTTCTCCTTTCATTTTTTTTTATTTTTTTATTCTCATATAAAACAAAGCATCGCCAACCCTTAGGCTGTGTTCCAAATCTTACCCAAATGGATCCGAGTTACTCCGGCGGGTCGTGTCACGTGACAACACAGAATGAAAAACGCTGGACGCGGGTAGGTTTTAGAACGCCAAGGTACAAAACCCTTACCCTGGAGTAGGATCTAGTAAATTTTGGAACACGGCCTTAGTCTCCGGCCCAATGTGGCGTCCGAATCAAATGGCGCGGTTCCAGAGCTAGCCGCTGTCTTATTGAAAAGTTATAAGCGATCCTCCGCAATTTTCTATCATAAAATGGCGGCCGAAGAAGTCCACGAATACGTGGAGATGAATGACTTCGGCTACCGGGAACAGGCCTCATTTTCCCACTGAAATTTTAAGGAAATCACATGTAATTTTGGTAACGGTTTGGTCTGCAACTTTGGAATGTGGTTCGAACCGCTATAGCTATATTTGGGGGGAGACTGAGGGTACTGCGATCCGTAGCTTATTTCTAAAAAAGAAATATATTTTTGTGTGCGGGGGGGAGGGAATGCCGGGGGGGGGGGGGGGGGGGGGGGGGCACCGTATGCATTGGCGCAAGCCCCATGCCCACTGTGCTAAGATATCTTGAAAATACACGGCAGCGCCACTTACAACGAGAACGGATCCCATGGAACGTTAAGAGTAGTCCGTCCTCTGGCTTTTTGACGAACGCAGGTGCTGTTGTACAGAATCTGGTGAGAAATCCTATATGGTTCCAAAGCGGGACAGCGCGTTTGATGCTTTCTCTTCTTCAATCTACATCGCTTAATTTCTTTTTTTTTTTTTTTTTGGTTATTTTGCTTACGCGTTTTTATGGCAACTCTTTGGTCATTATTTCCAGAAACAACTGAACCTATAGGCGTCGGAGTGGTTCTATTCTAAATATAATGAAAAGAAAGAAAATCTTAACAGCTTCGCGCAATTACATTTTTAGATTTTACGGTCATTGTTGTTTTGCGGGGCCTTGAATTTTGAGAAAAAAAGCTAAATTTTTTAGCTTCCAATTTTAAACGTCCCAGAAATTATATTAACAGATAAATACATACTGTAGCACCGCGTTGCGGTGTAAAACGTATTTGTGAATCTGTATCTGCTAATAAAACTCTTCGATACATTGTCGTTAAGAAATTAATTGAGGAAGTTTTTCGCTTCGGTGAAATCGAAAATTCGTCTTCTAAACACCGTTTCTTGAGCTCTACGCTGCGGCACTATCATGCCGATCGTGCTCGCTAAACTATACGGGGCATTGATCCTTCGGTCCATGCAGCGTTGTATTACTCCGACACGAGGAATACACTGCGTGCGGTGGTGTGGTTCACTCATATATTCAAGGGTCTATGGGTGGGCTTACCACTGATCTCTTTTGTAGTAGGCTGGACTGCGGACCGCGGCCTCGGCAGCTAGGGCCGAGTGTCGCCACCGGCGGCCATTGATTGACACCTGCCAATGCATGGGACTCTATGGGAAGAACGAGAAAAAGTGCCGTTACCCCGTTTCTATGCTGTTGTCGGCACTGAAACTTTTTGGATGCTTTTTGATAAGCTCGTCAAATAGCTTGCGTGCAAACATTAAAACGGACAGCCCTCGTAGTTCCTATAAAAACTATTTTGTGGTCGAGAGTGACTCCGCTGTAGTGCAGCTCAATGAGGCGAGAGTTACCTAGAGTTACCGCAGAGTCGGTGGCGGTTTCGTTGAGTTGGGTTTAGCAGACGACAAGCTCGGAGGCTTTGCTACGCTCACTCCCAGAAAGCCGCTGTCGAGATGGAACTCCTTTGTCATTCATCAACCTCTGGGCTTCCCCGAGGACGGTCTCATTGACGGCAAGTTCCTTTTTTTATTTCACTACGAGAGCAAGCTCGCCAGCTCAGCCGTAGGTGCTCCGGTACGCTTGATTTCTGTAGCGTAAGCAACGAGGTAGAGGGGCTTAGAGCGATAAACCGGGGTTCCGGTCTGCACTCGAAAGCAACGTTACTCGAAAGTGACCCCCACTGTACGCAAAGTTGACTACTCGTCACATGACCAAACCAAATAGTGACGTCACAGGAAAGATGGCAGCGCCCATGCAGAGGCTGGCCCCAGCTGGGCCGGAGCTTGTCGGATTCTTTGTTGGTTGTCGTTCGACGAGTTGATTTCATACGCGGAAGCCGTCATATGAGGCCGGTCGAAAGCGACTTTAGAGTTCAGCGTAAAACACGGAGGAATGGTGTGCATTTCGCTGGTGGAAGAATTTACCCTACGTTGCTCGGAGCTCGAATTGATTCGGATACCGCTAGGATAAAATTTAAGGCGACGTTTCTGTACTCTGGTTGACCATCGGAATCTTCGAGGTCTGCGGTGAAGCTAGTGCAATATTTTTGGACACACAGTTTAGCGACGGAAATTTTGGCAGTGGGCAATCGTGGTGCCACTTCGTTAAAATGACCGACGGCTCACTTTGGTTGTGCGGCGCACCGGAGAGCTGCCTTGAAGCTGGTAGTTGCCGTGCCGTGTTGTTTGAAGACCGGTGGCGTCGCTGCGTTTCCATAGGAGCTAAGCCTTCGTCTTTCTTTACTTTTTTCTCAGGTAAATTCGCTCTTTGCAAATTTGACAAAAAAAAAAATGCACCATCTTTGCGCAACGCTGCACGAAGTCGTGGCGCGATAGTTTAAGAACCCAAATTTTGCGGTCGATTTAAAGAGCCTGGCCTCTCCTTGAATCACCCTGCATTATGGCATTACTGATTTCTGGAATTCGACCTCTCCCTTACTTAGCCCATAATCATATAACTTACCGTTCTCCATCGTTGTTGTCAAGAATGTCTCCTTGTCTATCGTGTTGCTCTAGAAGTCTAGGAAGCGGAATTCTAGAGTGAACCTTCTACATTGTAAATCAATATATATTATGGCATTACTGATTTAGTGGAATTTGACCTCTCGCTTACTTAGCCCATAATCATATAACTTACCGTTCTCCATCGTTGTTGTCAAGAATGTCTCCTTGTCTATCGTGTTGCTCTAGAAGTCTTGGAAGCGGAATTCTAGAGGGCACCTTCTACATTGTAAATCAATATATATTATTGCATTACTGATTTAGTGGAATTTGACCTCTCGCTTACATAGCCCATAATCATAACTTACCGTTCTCCATCGTTGTTGTGAAGAATGTCTCCTTGTCTATCGTGTTGCTCTAGAAGTCTTGGAAGCGGAATTCTAGAGGGAACCTTCTACATTGTAAATCAATATATATTATGGCATTACTGATTTAGTGAAATTTGACCTCTCGCTTACTTAGCCCATAATCATATAACTTACCGTTCTCCATCGTTGTTGTCAAGAATGTCTCCTTGTCTATCGTGTTGCTCTAGAAGTCTTGGAAGCGGAATTCTAGAGGGCACCTTCTACATTGTAAATCAATATATATTATGGCATTACTGATTTAGTGGAATTTGACCTCTCGCTTACTTAGCCCATAATCATAACTTACCGTTCTCCATCGTTGTTGTCAAGAATGTCTCCTTGTCTATCGTGTTGCTCTAGAAGTCTTGGAAGCGGAATTCTAGAGGGAACCTTCTACATTGTAAATCAATATATATTATGGCATTACTGATTTAGTGGAATTTGACCTCTCGCTTACTTAGCCCATAATCATAACTTACCGTTCTCCATCGTTGTTGTCAAGAATGTCTCCTTGTCTATCGTGTTGCTCTAGAAGTCTAGGAAGCGGAATTCTAGAGTGAACCTTCTACATTGTAAATCAATATATATTATGGCATTACTGATTTAGTGGAATTTGACCTCTCGCTTACTTAGCCCATAATCATATAACTTACCGTTCTCCATCGTTGTTGTCAAGAATGTCTCCTTGTCTATCGTGTTGCTCTAGAAGTCTTGGAAGCGGAATTCTAGAGGGCACCTTCTACATTGTAAATCAATATATATTATTGCATTACTGATTTAGTGGAATTTGACCTCTCGCTTACATAGCCCATAATCATAACTTACCGTTCTCCATCGTTGTTGTGAAGAATGTCTCCTTGTCTATCGTGTTGCTCTAGAAGTCTTGGAAGCGGAATTCTAGAGGGAACCTTCTACATTGTAAATCAATATATATTATGGCATTACTGATTTAGTGAAATTTGACCTCTCGCTTACTTAGCCCATAATCATATAACTTACCGTTCTCCATCGTTGTTGTCAAGAATGTCTCCTTGTCTACCGTGTTGCTCTAGAAGTCTTGGAAGCGGAATTCTAGAGGGCACCTTCTACATTGTAAATCAATATATATTATGGCATTACTGATTTAGTGGAATTTGACCTCTCGCTTACTTAGCCCATAATCATAACTTACCGTTCTCCATCGTTGTTGTCAAGAATGTCTCCTTGTCTATCGTGTTGCTCTAGAAGTCTTGGAAGCGGAATTCTAGAGGGAACCTTCTACATTGTAAATCAATATATATTATGGCATTACTGATTTAGTGGAATTTGACCTCTCGCTTACTTAGCCCATAATCATAACTTACCGTTCTCCATCGTTGTTGTCAAGAATGTCTCCTTGTCTATCGTGTTGCTCTAGAAGTCTAGGAAGCGGAATTCTAGAGGGAACGTTCTACATTGTAAATCAATATATATTATGGCATTACTGATTTAGTGGAATTTGACCTCTCGCTTACTTAGCCCATAATCATATAACTTACCGTTCTCCATTGTTGTTGTCAAGAATGTCTCCTTGTCTATCGTGTTGCTCTAGAAGTCTTGGAAGCGGAATTCTAGAGGGCACCTTATACATTGTAAATCAATATATATTATGGCATTACTGATTTACTGGAATTTGACCTCTCGCTTACTTAGCCCATAATCATAACTTACCGTTCTCCATCGTTGTTGTCAAGAATGTCTCCTTGTCTATCGTGTATTTCTAGAAGTCTAGGAAGCGGAATTCTAGAGGGAACCTTCTACATGGTAAATCAATATATATTATGGCATTACTGATTTAGTGGAATTTGACCTCTCGCTTACTTAGCCCATAATCATATAACTTACCGTTCTCCATCGTTGTTGTCAAGAATGTCTCCTTGTCTATCGTGTTGCTCTAGAAGTCTTGGAAGCGGAATTCTAGAGGGAACCTTCTACATTGTAAATCAATATATATTATGGCATTACTGATTTAGTGGAATTCGACCTCTCGCTTACTTAGCCCATAATCATAACTTACCGTTCTCCATCGTTGTTGTCAAGAATGTCTCCTTGTCTATCTTGTTGCTCTAGAAGTCTTGGAAGCGGAATTCTAGAGGGAACTTTCTACATTGTAAATCAATATATATTATGGCATTACTGATTTAGTGGAATTTGACCTCTCGCTTACTTAGCCCATAATCATAACTTACCGTTCTCCATCGTTGTTGTCAAGAATGTCTCCTTGTCTATCGTGTATTTCTAGAAGTCTAGGAAGCGGAATTCTAGAGGGAACCTTCTACATTGTAAATCAATATATATTATGGCATTACTGATTTAGTGGAATTTGACCTCTCGCTTACTTAGCCCATAATCATATAACTTACCGTTCTCCATCGTTGTTGTCAAGAATGTCTCCTTGTCTATCGTGTTGCTCTAGAAGTCTAGGAAGCGGAATTCTAGAGGGCACCTTCTACATTGTAAATCAATATATATTATGGCATTACTGATTTAGTGGAATTTGACCTCTCGCTTACTTAGCCCATAATCATAAGTTACCGTTCTCCATCGTTGTTGTCAAGAATGTCTCCTTGTCTATCGTGTTGCTCTAGAAGTCTTGGAAGCGGAATTCTAGAGGGAACCTTCTACATTGTAAATCAATATATATTATGGCATTACTGATTTAGTGGAATTTGACCTCTCGCTTACTTAGCCCATAATCATATAACTTACCGTTCTCCATCGTTGTTGTCAAGAATGTCTCCTTGTCTATCGTGTTGCTCTAGAAGTCTTGGAAGCGGAATTCTAGGGGGCACCTTCTACATTGTAAATCAATATATATTATGGCATTACTGATTTAGTGGAATTTGACCTCTCGCTTTCTTAGCCCATAATCATAACTTACCGTTCTCCATCGTTGTTGTCAAGAATGTCTCCTTGTCTATCGTGTTGCTCTAGAAGTCTTGGAAGCGGAATTCTAGAGGGAACCTTCTACATTGTAAATCAATATATATTATGGCATTACTGATTTAGTGGAATTCCACCTCTCGCTTACTTAGCCCATAATCATATAACTTACCGTTCTCCATCGTTGTTGTCAAGAATGTCTCCTTGTCTATCGTGTTGCTCTAGAAGTCTTGGAAGCGGAATTCTAGAGGGCACCTTCTGCATTGTAAATCAATATATATTATGGCATTACTGATTTAGTGGAATTTGACCTCTCGCTTACTTAGCCCATAATCATAACTTACCGTTCTCCATCGTTGTTGTCAAGAATGTCTCCTTGTCTATCGTGTTGCTCTAGAAGTCTTGGAAGCGGAATTCTAGAGGGCACCTTCTACATTGTAAATCAATATATATTATGGCGTTACTGATTTAGTGGAATTTGACCTCCCGCTTACTTAGCCCATAATCATAACTTACCGTTCTCCATCGTTGTTGTCAAGAATGTCTCCTTGTCTATCATGTTGCTCTAGAAGTCTTGGAAGCGGAATTCTAGAGGGCACCTTCTACATTGTAAATCAATATATATTATGGCATTACTGATTTAGTGGAATTTGACGTCTCGCTTACTTAGCCCATAATCATAACTTACCGTTCTCCATCGTTGTTGTCAAGAATGTTTCCTTGTCTATCGTGTTGCTCTAGAAGTCTTGGAAGCGGAATTCTAGAGGGCACCTTCTACATTGTAAATCAATATATATTATGGCATTACTGATTTAGTGGAATTTTACCTCTCGCTTACTTAGCCCATAATCATAACTTACCGTTCTCCATCGTTGTTGTCAAGAATGTCTCCTTGTCTATCGTGTTGCTCTAGAAGTCTTGGAAGCGGAATTCTAGAGGGAACCTTCTATATTGTAAATCAATATATATTATGGCATTACTGATTTAGTGGAATTTGACCTCTCGCTTACTTAGCCCATAATGATATAACTTACCGTTCTCCAGTGTTGTTGTCAAGAATGTCTCCTTGTCTATCGTGTTGCTCTAGAAGTCTTGGAAGCGGAATTCTAGAGGGCACCTTCTACATTGTAAATCAATATATATTATGGCATTACTGATTTAGTGGAATTTGACCTCTCGCTTACTTAGCCCATAATCATAGCTTACCGTTCTCCATCGTTGTTGTCAAGAATGTCTCCTTGTCTATCGTGTTGCTCTAGAAGTCTTGGAAGCGGAATTCTAGAGGGCACCTTCTACATTGTAAATCAATATATATTATGGCATTACTGATTTAGTGGAATTTGACCTCTCGCTTACTTAGCCCATAATCATAACTTACCGTTCTCCATCGTTGTTGTCAAGAATGTCTCCTTGTCTATCGTATTGCTCTAGAAGTCTTGGAAGCGGAATTCTAGAGGGCACCTTCTGCATTGTAAATCAATATATATTATGGCATTACTGATTTAGTGGAATTTGACCTCTCGCTTACTTAGCCCATAATCATAACTTACCGTTCTCCATCGTTGTTGTCAAGAATGTCTCCTTGTCTATCGTGTTGCTCTAGAAGTCTTGGAAGCGGAATTCTATAGGGCACCTTCTACATTGTAAAGCAATATATATTATGGCATTACTGATTTAGTGGAATTTGACCTCTCGCTTACTTAGCCCATAATCATAACTTACCGTTCTCCATCGTTGTTGTCAAGAATGTCTTTTTGTCTATCGTGTTGCTCTAGAAGTCTTGGAAGCGGAATTCTAGAGGGCACCTTCTACATTGTAAATCAATATATATTATGGCGTTACTGATTTAGTGGAATTTGACCTCTCGCTTACTTAGTCCATAATCATATAACTTACCGTTCTCCATCGTTGTTGTCAAGAATGTCTCCTTGTCTATCGTGTTGCTCTAGAAGTCTTGGAAGCGAAATTCTAGAGGGCACCTTCTGCATTGTAAATCAATATATATTATGGCATTACTGATTTAGTGGAATTTGACCTCTCGCTTACTTAGCCCATAATCATAACTTACCGTTCTCCATCGTTGTTGTCAAGAATGTCTCCTTGTCTATCGTGTTGCTCTAGAAGTCTTGGAAGCGGAATTCTAGAGGGCACCTTCTACATTGTAAATCAATATATATTATGGCATTACTGATTTAGTGGAATTTGACCTCTCGCTTACTTAGCCCATAATCATAACTTACCGTTCTCCATCGTTGTTGTCAAGAATGTCTCCTTGTCTATCGTGTTGCTCTAGAAGTCTTGGAAGCGGAATTCTAGAGGGCACCTTCTACATTGTAAATTAATATATATTATGGCATTACTGATTTAGTGGAATTTGACCTCTCGCTTACTTAGCCCATAATCATAACTTACCGTTCTCCATCGTTGTTGTCAAGAATGTCTCCTTGTCTATCGTGTTGCTCTAGAAGTCTTGGAAGCGGAATTCTAGAGGGCACCTTCTACATTGTAAATCAATATATATTATGGCATTACTGATTTAGTGGAATTTGACCTCTCGCTTACTTAGCCCATAATCATAACTTACCGTTCTCCATCGTTGTTGTCAAGAATGTCTCCTTGTCTATCGTGTTGCTCTAGAAGACTTGGAAGCGGAATTCTAGAGGGCACCTTCTACATTGTAAATCAATATATATTATGGCGTTACTGATTTAGTGGAATTTGACCTCTCGCTTACTTAGCCCATAATCATAACTTACCGTTCTCCATCGTTGTTGTCAAGAATGTCTCCTTGTCTATCGTGTTGCTCTAGAAGTCTTGGAAGCGGAATTCTAGAGGGCACCTTCTACATTGTAAATCAATATATATTATGGCATTACTGATTTAGTGGAATTTGACCTCTCGCTTACTTAGCCCATAATCATAACTTACCGTTCTCCATCGTTGTTGTCAAGAATGTCTCCTTGTCTATCGTGTTGCTCTAGAAATCTTGGAAGCGGAATTCTAGAGGGCACCTTCTACATTGTAAATCAATATATATTATGGCATTACTGATTTAGTGGAATTTGACCTCTCGCTTACTTAGCCCATAATCATAACTTACCGTTCTCCATCGTTGTTGTCAAGAATGTCTCCTCGTCTATCGTGTTGCTCTAGAAGTCTTGGAAGCGGAATTCTAGAGGGCACCTTCTACATTGTAAATCAATATATATTATGGCATTACTGATTTAGTGGAATTTGACCTCTCGCTTACTTAGCCCATAATCATAACTTACCGTTCTCCATCGTTGTTGTCAAGAATGTCTCCTTGTCTATCGTGTTGCTCTAGAAGTCTTGGAAGCGGAATTCTAGAGGGCACCTTCTACATTGTAAATCAATATATATTATGGCATTACTGATTTAGTGGAATTTGACCTCTCGCTTACTTAGCCCATAATCAGAACTCACCGTTCTCCATCGTTGTTGTCAAGAATGTCTCCTTGTCTATCGTGTTGCTCTAGAAGTCTTGGAAGCGGAATTCTAGAGGGCACCTTCTACATGGTAAATCAATATATATTATGGCATTACTGATTTAGTGGAATTTGACCTCTCGCTTACTTAGCCCATAATCACAACTTACCGTTCTCCATCGTTGTTGTCAAGAATGTCTCCTTGTCTATCGTGTTGCTCTAGAAGTCTTGGAAGCGGAATTCTAGAGGGCACCTTCTACATTGTAAATCAATATATATTATGGCATTACTGATTTAGTGGAATTTGACCTCTCGCTTACTTAGCCCATAATCATAACTTACCGTTCTCCATCGTTGTTGTCAAGAATGTCTCCTTGTCTATCGTGTTGCTCTAGAAGTCTTGGAAGCGGAATTCTAGAGGGCACCTTCTACATTGTAAATCAATATATATTATGGCATTACTGATTTAGTGGAATTTGACCTCTCCCTTACTTAGCCCATAATCATAACTTACTGTTCTCCATCGTTGTTGTCAAGAATGTCTCCTTGTCTATCGTGTTGCTCTAGAAGTCTTGGAAGCGGAATTCTAGAGGGCACCTTCTGCATTGTAAATCAATATATATTATGGCATTACTGATTTAGTGGAATTTGACCTCTCGCTTACTTAGCCCATAATCATAACTTACCGTTCTCCATCGTTGTTGTCAAGAATGTCTCCTTGTCTATCGTGTTGCTCTAGAAGTCTTGGAAGCGGAATTCTCGAGGGCACCTTCTACATTGTAAATCAATATATATTATGGCATTACTGATTTAGTGGAATTTGACCTCTCGCTTACTTAGCCCATAATCATAACTTACCGTTCTCCATCGTTGTTGTCAAGAATGTCTCCTTGTCTATCGTGTTGCTCTAGAAGTCTTGGAAGCGGAATTCTAGAGGGCACCTTCTACATTGTAAATCAATATATATTATGGCATTACTGATTTAGTGGAATTTGACCTCTCGCTTACTTAGCCCATAATCATAACTTACCGTTCTCCATCGTTGTTGTCAAGAATGTCTCCTTGTCTATCGTGTTGCTCTAGAAATCTTGGAAGCGGAATTCTAGAGGGCACCTTCTACATTGTAAATCAATATATATTATGGCATTACTGATTTAGTGGAATTTGACCTCTCGCTTACTTAGCCCATAATCATAACTTACCGTTCTCCATCGTTGTTGTCAAGAATGTCTCCTCGTCTATCGTGTTGCTCTAGAAGTCTTGGAAGCGGAATTCTAGAGGGCACCTTCTACATTGTAAATCAATATATATTATGGCATTACTGATTTAGTGGAATTTGACCTCTCGCTTACTTAGCCCATAATCATAACTTACCGTTCTCCATCGTTGTTGTCAAGAATGTCTCCTTGTCTATCGTGTTGCTCTAGAAGTCTTGGAAGCGGAATTCTAGAGGGCACCTTCTACATTGTAAATCAATATATATTATGGCATTACTGATTTAGTGGAATTTGAAGCTATAAAAAGATTTCTATACATCACTAAATTGTACTCAGGATCACTCCCTATAGCGTTAATAACTGATTGAACTTGGTTTTAGTCTTTTTTCAAGGCAATGGCAGTCGCCAAAAAATTCGAGAAATATGAGCATCGTTCATTCCCTCAACTCGGAGCCAGAAGCGGCCACGTGGCCTGGTGCCTGTCTTATGCCGCCAACGTTAATCATACCCCCGCACTGGGGTCGGAAAGAAAGAAAACGCGTGCTGAGCTCCAGGCATTGTTAAGCCTGGTTCAGACAGTTGCGTTTGACTGCGTTTGACTGCGTTGCGGCTACGAGAAACCAGGACATCCCTGCTGCTTATATCGCGTGCCAAGATGATTCCTTGAATTGGATTCTACGCTTCATACGAAGCACAGATGTGTCGGTGACTCGCTTTCGGTTCTCGACACAACGCAGTCAAACGCACTCAAACGCAAGTGTCTGAACCGGCCTTTAGAGTTTGGCTATTCTCATCACCGTAGTGGTTGGACACGAGCCACTACCCAAGTGTCCGCCGAAGCATTGCTTGTTACGAGCCGATGTACAATGCTCACGCAGTTCTCCTGTCCAATCCTT